GTGCAGCAACGGATAGCCCGGCGTGGTGCTCACCATGCCTGGTATGCTCCATATGAACGCCAGGTATGACAATCAGACACGCTGAGATTGACCACGAACACATTGGTGTCGGTCTGGAGTTTCTTGGTCCGGGCCACGGCAACCAACACCATGCTGTTACCAGCGATTGCTAGGACTATCAGGATGGAATAACCGACTGAAAGGAAGATGAACTCAGGATAGGAGTACAAGGCCAGAGTGGACTTCAGCAAAATAGGTGAGTTTGACGAGGGAGTTGAGTCTGGCTGAAGAGTAGAGTTGATTTGGAGCTCCATGGTTGGTCAACTGATAGTCAACTGATTGATAGAGCATTTCGAAGTTGAAGTATTCAATTCCAGTCTTCTACACAATGAGTCTAATTATAGTTCAAGTTGAGTCATTTTAAGCGCTACCCGCCCTTTGATCTACTTGTAGTTCCGAGAAATTTAAAAAACATTGACATAACAGGAAAACAGTAGAATGAAATTCAGAACAGTTGCTGTTAACAGTTGTTTGATGATATTAACATTTAAATCTAACCGGACCAAGTATTCTGATTAACGTTACTGCGGTTAGTTCCCTTCCTGGATCGAGCAGTTATCTCAATCTGCGCATGTACTTAGGCTATTTTCATTGTACTTTCAAGTAATGTGGGACTGTCAAAGCTCCTCTCCATAATTTGCATTGAGATATATGAAGTAAAAAATACAAACAAAATCGAAACAGATTTCTTTAGCAATAAAAAGGTAATGTCGAAATGTGCTAACTCGCAAGTTTGTTACCATACAGGACTGGCCAAAGAACAGACGTCTGAATCGTCCCTGGAATACGAGAACACCAATGGGTACATTTAAAAAATTCAAAATTCTGTTCAACATTTCGTACACGTGAAAGTTGACCCAATCCACCAACCAAATATTTCCTTGTTATTGTTCATCCTATTGCAAAACTTGTCCAAGGACATTTGAATTGACTTTCGATTTACTTCTGACTGGATTTGGAGGATTGATATTAAGCAAGTCATCATAATTTATCTTGGGAATCGGTGGTGGCTTTGTTGCTAGTTTTGTCTTTCAAAATAATCTCAACTTTTTCACAAGTAAGACCAAAACAAGTCACACCGGTGAATCCGTGTTCGAACAAAAGGGTGGCTTATTAGCACTTTCATTTCGCTGGTTTGGTATAATCTGCTTATGTTATCAGTGTGTATGCTTATGTTGGGTGTCATCGTAGATTTGAAAGCTAGCACACAGTTGGTTCCCTTCAATATAGCTAAACCTTACTTTTGTATGTCTTATTTGGCAAACTATGGTGGGTAGTCATTTCAAAAACAAGAATAAATTGCAATTTCTTTCAAATAAATCCATTATGCAGATGCTGAAATGTTATCACACACCAATAAGTGAACGTAAATTCCGTCTGGAGAAGTGTTCTCGAAAACACGGATTCTACTTCTGTATAACCAGCACAACTATATTATGAGTTTATTTGGGGCTTAAAAGAACAATTTACCTTTTCAATTTCGACTCGGATCCAGGCCGCCAGTCGAATATTCTGCCTAACATTAAAACCCACTTGTGAACATTGCTTTCGAGGGTTTAAGAAAAACGTGTTGCGCAAAAGATCTGATGCCCAGTTTAATTACAGTGGATTTTCCACAAGAAATTTCCACATCATAGCACAGATTGTGATTTGGTAATGTTTCTACTTCACACAATGTGAAATTACAAAGTTTCCATGTGAATTTTAAAGATAAGCCCTAAACGATGCGTTTTAAAGAATTCCGGGTTCGAATAAAAGGGTCGCTTAATAACACTTCCAATTCGCTGGTGCACGTGCATCTGCTTGCCTTGGACATCAACGTAAATGTGCCAGCTGAGCGAAGGCTGAGTTGGAAGTTTCCTGGTTCCCTTCGATATAAATCTTACCTTCAAGTCATACTTGGCAAACCGTGCTTGGTGGTCATCACAATAATAGGCAATGTCTTTCAAATTAATGGGGCAATCAACACAGCGCTATATAAATTGCCATTATTCGCTAACATGTAACACTGTACACAACCGGACCAACTAACGTTGTTACCTTTACGTTTAAACAAACTCAAGACTTTATATATTATTGTTGCAGAAAACTGAATCATAGAGCTATTCTCAAATGCAATATCACCGAATAAAATTAATCTTCAGACTTTGATCGCGTTCTGCCCATTCTAAAGATAAATAACAGTGAACTGGACTGTGAGTTGGGTGATGCTTGCACCTCACACAATGCCAGGTTAAAAGTTCTCCATTTTATCTTATTCTGAAGACCCACATCTTCACACCAAGGGACATACCTTGTGTTGACGTAATCTCTTTACATGTACAATGCATTCAAACTGTGCACAGGAAAGTGACATATTGAAACGAAACGACGTTATCATGGATGGTCTCAAGATTTGCAGACTGTCTCGAAGCTGTTTGATCGTTAATCTGTTTCATGTTTGTGATTGATAGGTGATGGAACTTCGCAAGACAAGAGTTTTAGATGAGTTGCATTAGAAAAGAAATCAAAAATAAATCATGTTTGTTGGATTAAACTGTGGATGTGATTCAGGCTACAGCTCCATTTAGTCGTTGGAACCTCTGCATCGGATCATAGCTCGTAACACGGGCCCGAAGTGTGGATGCTTGGCGGCATAGATTACTAAATTTACTCCGCCGCTGGCAAACAGGAAAAGGGCACCGTAAAGATGGTAGCGAACTCTGTTCGTGGCCATCATCATGGCATAGGGCAAAAAGCAAACAGCAAAGGCCAAGACGACAACGAAGAGGTTCTTAGTGATGGCGAGTTCGTCCTTCTTGATGAGGTTGTGTTGGGAGGAGCTGACAGTTGGTTGGAGGGGCACACCAGAGATTTGAGTGCCACTAGCTTCCATGTCATCACTGTTCGTATTTGGTGTTGAAGAAGACAAGCCGGACTTGTCGGAAGAGGGTTGAAGGCAGATGTTATATTGTCGACGGTTCTTGAAATGTCGTCTGACATGTCGCCAAATAAGGAGGTACGACACGACAATGATGACACACGGTACCGGGAACCACACGGCCATCATAATGATGTCATATTCGGTGTTGGAGGGATGAATTGCAATACCAGAGCAGACACGACACTTGGGGTCAAAGCCAAGATCACCGATATCACATAATGGAGGTATGACGATGGCGCACAGAGGGACGAGCCAGGAGCCCGAGACCATCAGGGCGATCTTCTTGGGTGTATACAGCCACTGGTAAGTCTCCTTAGGCCTGGTGATCAGAATGTATCGGCTCAAGGCGATGTTGGCGAGGTTGTACGCACTACAGCCAAAACCTTCATAAAGAAGAGCACCCCATATCACACACAGGATGTCTGGCTGCAACGGATAGCCCGGCGTGGTGCTCACCATGCCCGGTATGCTCCATATGAATGCGAGACATGACAGGCAATCAGACACACTCAGGTTAACGACGAACACATTGGTGACGTTCTGAAGTTTCTTGGTCCGGGCCACGGCAACCAACACCAAGCTGTTACCGGAGATTGCTAGGACTATCAGGATGGAAAAACTGACAGACAAAAAGATGAACTCGGGATAGGAGTGCACAGCCTCAGCTGATGGAAAAAGAGTTGAGTTGGATGACACAGTTGAGTTCGACAGAACACTTGGGTTTGCCAAAGGAGTTGAGTCTGGCTTAAGAGTAGAGTTGATCGGGAACTGCATGGTCTTGTCTACTGATTCTGTGTTTGTTAGACCGCTTTGCTTGAACAATCAAGTATTCTGCTCCTATCCACATTACACAACTGCAGAGTCCAATTCAAGCTGATGTGGAGGCATTATAAAGCGCTACCCGCCATTTGATCTGCTTTATTTCCGGAAAATTTGAACGCAAATGGATAACAGGGAAAAAGGCGAGAGGAGATTACAACTGTTTTCTTTATTTAAAAAATCTAACCGGGCTAAATACATTGGATCCTGATTCAAATTACTGCGGTTACTTAAACTATGGTGAATCGAGGAATACATGTATTAGGAATGTGCGCTGGGAATGGAATTATTTTCCTGATACTTGCAGGGTGATATGGGACTGTTATAAGCTTTTTTTCCCCTGATACTTGCAGGGTGATATGGGACCGCTATAAGCTTTTTGCCCCTGATACTTGGAGGGTGATATGGGACTGCTATAAGCTTTTTCCCCTGATACTTGCAGGGTGATATGGGACTGCTATAAGCTTTTTTCCCGATACTTGCAGGGTGATATGGGACTGCTATAAGCTTTTTCCCCCGGATACTTTTTAGGGTGATATGGGACTGCTATAAGCTTTTTTCCCCTGATACTTGCAGGGTGATATTGGACTGCTATAAGCTTTTTTCCCCTGATACTTGCAGGGTGATATGGGACTGTTATAAGCTTTTTTCCCTGATACTTGCAGGGTGATATGGGACTGCTATAAGCTGTTTTGCATAATTTGCATTAACTCTAAGACAGCAGTGGGAGCAGAATCCGCCCTCTCTACCTTTTTGCGATATCTGTGTGTTTTGGGGGGAGCTGAAGTATTTCCAATTTGCTACAGGGGAACATGGATGATCCCAGCCTTCTAAAAGCAAGCAAGTCCGTCTCCATAGCTAATTGTACTAATTAATCCGTAATAGACGTGCTTAAACGTTGAGTTTCGCTCACTAACGCGTACTATCAAAATTAATACTAACATGCATATACGGGTACTTTAATAAGCCATACCTATCTCCTATCTACAGGTCGTTGCAGCACATGACACATTACGACACACGTAAAATTGCTTCCAGATCGCAGGAAGACATCTGAACAATTTATTGCTGGGGTGATCGACTAAGGTCATTCCTCCGCTTACAGCACCATTTAAAGAATGCACAGTATAAATGAATGAAGACCATGCTCTCTCCCTTTAGTCTTCTGTTGCGTAAGATATGCTTCTATTACTCCCTCAGTCCTGATTGGTAAAGTTTGATGTCTTTGATAGCATGCTGACTATTCTAAATAACAGTGAACTGGTGATGCTTGCATTTCACATAATGTCAAGTTAAAGGTTTTCCACCTTATTTTATCTGAAGACTCACATCTTCACCCCAAGGAACGTACCTTGTGTTGAAGTATTTGGTTTTACAATGCATTCAAATCATACACAGCGAAGCGAGATATTGAACTGAAACCACGTTATCATGACTTAGTTACAAGATTTGTAGTCTCTCTTGCTGGTGTTTATTCTTGATCGCTTTCTCTTTAGCGATCGAAATTGGATGAAAGTTTTTAGATAGCTTGCAGTAAAAGCAGAAATCACAGCTGAAAAGTAAATTCTGATTTGTTGGACCTAACGGAGGATATGACTCGGGCCGTTTAGTCGTTGGAACCTCTGCATCGGATCACGGCTTGCAACACAGGCCCAAAGTGTGGATGCTTGGTAGCACAGGTGACTGGATCTACCCCGCCGCTGGCAAATAGGAAAAATACACCGTAAAGATGGTAACGAACAATGTTCGTCGCCATCATGATAGCGAGAGGCTTGAAGTAAACTTGCAACGAAGGCCAAGACAACAACGAAGAGGTTCTTGGTGACGGCAAGTTCGTCCTTCTTGATGAGGCTGGGTTGGGAGGAGCTGACAGATAGTTGGGGACGTAGCAGGTGTTTTCGAGCAAAGGGACCGCTTAATAGCACTTTCAGTTGTCTGTTTCACGTGCAATTGCTTGCGTTTGCTAAAAGATGCATTTAGTCTCTTAAATTTCACCTTAAGCGTAGGCCATGAGACAAAAATTCTGGCCAAAAGAAACCTCTTGTGAACAGTTTTAAGAGACGTTTCAAAATAACTGCGTATCAGAGCAGACAATGTGACACCTAATGTTGTTCCAGTGATTTGTCTACAAGAAAAGGCCATACACTTACATTGATAATTAACCCATCTCGTATGTACCCGCGTACTCCAGCCCATCGTGCGGTCCGCCAGTCAGAGCCGCCGACGGTTATCGGCCCGACCAAATGTGGCAAAGGCGCCCTGGACGACCTATATTGACATGGACCCGTCTAATCCGCTCTGGAGTCGATAAACACATCATTGACCATTGGTCTTTGACAGGCGACAGGTAGTAATCGACAGACGTGCCGGCCTTCAGTTGGTTATAGCCACTCAGAGCGGCCCACGTTCACTGATCATGATGATGAGTTAGATATTAAACTAGGCCTAATTTTCTCCAGCGGAACAGAGATGTTCCACCTTTATGAAGCAAAGCCCAATTCACAGCTGTTTGTTGCAATTAGTCTGCAATAAGACGTGTTTATACATTAATTTAGGTCACTCAAGTGCAATGTGAAAACTAATACTTGTATAGAAGTATAACGTAACATGTAACTATAATCTACGTACCTTAATTAAACTAATTGACGTTGTTCATCTCGTCTATATGTCACAGCTTGTCTACAAGAAACACCAAACTCGCGACCAGATCACAGGAAGCCATCTGAACACATTACCGGCAAGGTTCATTCCTTGGCAAAGCCTCTCATACTGTCACGGTTGAGTGCGCTCAGTACCATTTAAAGAATGCACACTATAAAGGAACAAAGACCATGCTCTCTCCCTTTAGTCTTCTGTTACATAAGATATGCCACAATCACTCCCTCATTCCCGATTGCTAAGGTTAGATGTCACAGTAAGACTGTGTCTTTGACTGACACTGAACCTTTCAACTCAACTTGTTAGTTTAAAGGTGCAACCTGAACCACAATCTGAACAAATGATATCTTCAGTAACCAATATTGATGAGTTATGGAGCGACACACAGGTATCAAGAGAATGCAATGCACATTTAAATTAAGTAAACATCTCCCACTGAGTCAAATTAAGCTCAGTACACATAAACGCTAATGAATATCCACTATCGCATCCCCTATACTGTAAAGTAATTCGATTAATAGCATATTTCTCACCGGCAGGAGGAAAGTGCTTTTATGAAGCATCACTTTCGCATCCAACTACCCTTGTATCTTTACACTTCAATAAACATAAAACTGTTAATTTTACAGAAAACTGAATAATAGAATCAGATTCAAATGCAATACTGGTACCTGGACACGATTAATGTACAAATAGTGAAGGTTTTGGACAAGTGCCAAGTCTATTTTCTTCTTTTGAGTGTTTCCTTGGCTAGTTTTTGAATCTTCAGGCTAGTTTTGAACCAACAATTCAGACTCTGGGACATACTATTACATTATTTGCAACTTCAAAGAACTGGAGGTCTCTAAAAAGTCAATGTCGACCAGTACAAAATTTCTTCTGCCTTCTCAAGAATTGTTATAATCGCATAAGTATACCTTCACATTGATCCGATACGTTCGGACAGTCTTTTCATTTCCCAAACAATAAATGTTTTGGAATGAAAGTTATACCGTCATACCGAAGACAGCATTTACAAGCTGAATACTCAAGTTTCACGCTGGGGTTTGACCAGCAATGGATGTTTGCAAGAAGTAAGACTAAACAATGAGCACATTCATTTGGAACTTGAGACAAAGGGGACGATTCTCAAACGATTCGGTGTTACGATACCATTCCTCATTTAATATTTTACGACTGTGACTCAAACGAAATATCTAACAAAAACATTTGGGTGGATCGTTTGCTTTACATGAGCGCACCCTCCCTTACGCGTATGGCACAAGCAACCATTAAATGTATTTTCACTTTCCAAAGATTTCATTGAACGGCATAAGCAAAACTGCAGTTAAAACAACTTTAACAGAGTGAAAGATGGCGATACATTTATGCTGCTAGTTTCGGAATCGACTTAAAACTTATTCATAGAAAGCCCTCAGAAAGTTCAAAGGTATACTCTTTTTTGAAAGATTTTTCACCGATATATTGTTATTAAGGGTAGGCGTAGGTTTGAAGGGTCGAGTTTCCTTGGATAGAGGGAACCTCATGAGGAGTAGATGTTTATTCTGATGAACACCGACAGCGTATCATGGCTCTCAACACTGGGCCGAGGTGTGGATGTTTGGCAGCATAGATGAGAGGGTTAATACAGCCGTTGAGGAACAAGGCCAAACCGCCGTACAGCTGGTAGCGGTTGTTCTTAGTGACCACCATGATGGCGAGGGGCATGAAGCAAACGATGAAAGCAAACACCACCACGAAGAGGTTCTTGGTGATAGCCAGCTGGTCATGCTTGGTGCGTCTCAGCGTGTGGCGACTCTCGACGCGTCGGAGCGACCCCTGCAGGGTGCGCGTCCCTTTCGGGATGCCGCCATCAACATCACGCATGGAGGCAGACGACTGCGCTGATGGCACGACCGTGGAGGACTGCATGTGCCCGCTCGCGTTTTGCCTGCGCTTCTTGAAGTGTTTCTTGATATGTCGCCAGATCAGGATGTAGGAAACAATGATCACGATGCAGGGAAATGGAAAGAAGACTCCAAACTGAATCTTGTCGTAGATTGCAGCTTTGGTGTGAGTGTCGATGTCGGTGCAGGTTCGGCTTTCTGGATCGAAGCCGATGTCGCCAACTCCGTAGAGCGGGGGCACCACTACGGCGCTAAACGGCACAAGCCAAGCAATCAAGACCATCAGGGCAATCTTCTTGGGGGTGTACAGCCATTGGTAGGTCTCCTTGGGCCTGGTGATCAATAAGCACCGATTCAAAGCGATATTTGCCAGGCTGTTCAGGCTGCAAGACACTGTGATAAAAACGAGAGCAGCCGTAACTATGCAGGGAACTGCAGTCTGCAACGGGTAGCCAGGCGTCGTACTAACCATAGCCGGCACGCTCCATACAAAAGCCAGGCACGACAGGCAGTCAGACACGCTCAAGTTGACCACGAACACGTTGGTGGCGGTTTGGAGTTTCTTGGTACGGGCTACGGCAACCAACACCAGGCTGTTACCGCCGAGTGTCACGACAATCAAGATGGAGAACCCAACAGCGCAGAGAACCAACTCGGGGTAAGAGTAGAGCGACCCTGTAGATAGGGGAAGTGATGAGTTCAAGAGGCGCAAGACTGTTCCGTTAACAGATGAGTTAAAAAAATCGGCCAAAGTAGGAACCGTTGCATTTGTCCTGTTATCCATCATGAAGCTGAAGTGTGCGTAAGGTCAATCTGCCTACTTGTCTGGTAACTTTGCTCCATCTGTTGGTTACGGTTTCTTTGTTATCACATTCAAGGAAATAAGAAATACAATGTTCTACACGGCCGTTTCACTTTCAACTTCTTATAAATTTCCCACAGCTTCTATGGTTCAAACAGAAAGGCTCCGAGGTATTAATTACGTTTCAGGGTTTCGAAAGACTAAAGGAGATAAATCTTGCCAAGACAAAAGCATTTCATATTAAAGGTGTGGACATGGGCTGAACTTTGGTTCAAATTGTTTGGAGATAAAAGCGAGAGTTATAAATCAAATTGATTTTCGTATCATTCCTTTGAAGGATCCAGGGCTGTTTGAACAATGGGGGTAACCAAGCAGTATAAATTACAGCGTTCCTTGATTCACACACCAGTTCAATGAGACAAAAGTGACTTAAAGACCAAGCAGCTATGAAATCAATTTTTGAGAGCTGTATTTCTAATACTTGTGTCAGCCAAAGACTTGTTCACCTACTCGGAGGTTATCTTTTCTGTCAGTTTATCCATCCTATTCCTGAATCAGTATGTCACTGAACGGATTTGCCAAAGTACCGCATGATGTTTGGTATTAATTACTAGTTTTTCCTTTCTGAAATCCGCGTCTTCAAAGTGAATGGTCGTCCTTTAATCTCACTGTTGTCCTGTGGCTGGAAGCAAATACAAGGGTGAGTAACGCTTTGAAGTTCTGGACTTGGCCTTGGACTTGGCCTTGCTTTGGTCTCGGGGTCTTGTGGATTAGAGTAGAACACGCAACGCATCAACAACCGGAGAATCAGCAGAAAGACCATGAAGCTTCCAATCAACTCTCCTCTTCAGCCAGAGTCAACTCCTTTGGCAAACCCAAGTGTTCTACCAAACTCTACTCTGTCACCAAACTCAACTTTTCTTCCATCAGCTGAGGCGTTGTATACTAACCCAGAGTTCACCTTCTTTTCTGTCGGTTTTTCCATCCTGATAGTCTTAGCAATCGCCGGTAACAGCATGGTGTTGGTTGCCGTAGCTCGGACCAAGAAACTCCAGACCGTCACCAATGTGTTCGTGGTCAATCTCAGCGTGACTGATTGCCTATCCAGTTTTGCTTTTCTCTGGAGCGTGCTGGGAATGGCAAGTACGACACCGGGATATCTGCTGCAGTCTGACGTCCCGTGTGTAACAGCAGCTGGTGCCGTGTTTACAGCCGTGGGCTGTAGCCTGTACACACTCGCTAGCATCGCCCTGAACCGATACATTCTGATCACAAGGTCCAGGGAGACCTTTCAGTGGCTGTACACACCCAAGAAGATCACCCTGATGGTCTCAGGCTCCTGGCTCGTCCCTGTATGTGCCATCGTCATGCCCCCAGTTTTTGGAGTCGGCGACCTCGGCTTTGATCCTGAGAGCCGAACCTGCAGCGATGTTGACACTCATCCCATGGCCGATGCCTACGATAAGGTACAGTTCTGGGTCTTGTATCCGTTACCGCTCGTGGTTATCGTCGTTTCGTACGTCTTGATCTGGCGATACATGAAACAGCATTTCAGTAAACGCCGCCAAAAAGGCGTGAGTCAGCAAGTGTCAACGCTAAAAGCCGACTACTCGTCCACTTCAAAGTTAGACATCGATGACAACCGTCACGCTGGAGGTTTTGTGAAATCAGTTGCATCTTCTCAAAACACCGGGAGCTCACGTCATCTCAGCCGCATCAAGAAGGACCAGTTAACTATCACCAAGAACCTCTTCGTCGTGGTGTTAACATTCTTGGTTTGCTTCACTCCTATCGCCATTATGGTGGTTACCAAGAGCAACCGCTACATGCTTTACGGCGCTCTGACAATGTTCCTCAGCAGCGGTATCAACCCGTTCATTTACGCGGCTAAGCATCCTCACTTCAAGCCTGTCTTACGGTCCATGGTCTGGTGCAGATGCTCCACAGAGACGATGGCATAATACGTTTACATCGACCTAGTGGTGTGGACTACCATGGGTGACTCAAGTAGACGACGACGGGTAAGGCTATACTGGCAGGCTAATCGAACGCCCCAAAGTCCTCTCACGACATGACACAATGTCAGCAAGGCTTGTGGGAACAGTTTTTGCCAACCGACGTGCCAGTGGGTTTGCTGAACAGCAACGCCTCAACTCTTGCTTGACATTCGAGACAAACGTGCGTTTTAGGGGGGGAAAGCCATTTTGCTAACAACTAAGGTCGACCTTTCTGCTATACACGTAACAAACTGTGAGTTGTTGGTATTCTGAGTTCTCCTCACGGCGCACAGGGCCTCTTACATTCAAACAGTATCCTGTACGGACACAATTGCATTCTTCCTGAGAGGGGCTGCGAATGTTTTACACCAAATCCACTGTAACTTTAAAAATGGACAGACAAAAAGTGTTATTCATTGGTTAAGAATTCCCCAACTTTATTCCTGGAAAATATCCACATCTTGCCACAGACAAATATTGAAATGAAATGATTCTATATTACAACGAATAATCATAATGTAAACCTGTTGTCATTTATACTTAAATTAAACATGTACATTCCAAAATAACAGATTTCACAAATACATTAAAACAGGAGTTACACAGACAAATGTACATGTATATTGTATGTACATTTAAGACTCAGAACTGGATAAATAGCGCCAGCACTGAGTAATTTTGTGCATATTTCTCATTTTGAGAATTCGGTCACATAGTCGTGCATAATGTATACAGTTTAAAATTAGTTCATTTGTACATCATTTATACATGTTTGATTCGTAAACAAGTAGTTCAGTGATACGTGTGGGTGGGTCGACAGAGCAAGATTTGGTTCCAAGCTAACTCCAGGTATAATTTGCCGTATCTGAATTTCTTGGCTGCGGCTTGAAATTACACACGACGCCATGGGAAGTGGCTTCAATGCTAATCCGGAACAGGAAAAGAGGCTGACGCCCAGGCGTGAGCTTAACCCTTCCTCGAATATAAACCACTCCCTCCTGATTCCGAATTTACATCTTTAATGTCATGATCTGGTAATCTAAGCCTAAGTCTCTGTCTCGAGGCCAGGGCACAGCCCCACCCCTGTCTCGAGGCCAGGGCACAGCCCCACTCCTGTCTTGAGGCCAGGGCACAGCCCTATCCGGTTTTGACGTAAACCAACGGACTTATACCCAGCAAGAAATGAGACCGAGAGGTACCCCCCCAACATGTCCAATCCCTATACACATTCCAGACTATTGTTACTTAACACATCCCCCAAGATGTCTGAAAGGAACTCCCCAGATTCCTGCGAGACAATGACCAACACAAAGCAGGGGGGGGTTCTCTCCGTCTCATACCTTGCTGCGTATGAGCGGACTTGAGGCTTGTAGTGTTTTTTTGTTCCATTGTGTGCGCCGTAAAGACTAGCAAGAACGAGAATATGAACCAGGTGTTTGACAATGCCATGGATCATGGTAACCATTCATCGGAGCGAGTGAACAAACCATCCAACCCAAAACAAACAAAACACAAGGTGCAATATTACTGAGGTTGACCCGCCAGTTTCGACAAACGCGTTTGCATTACGCCACGGGATTTTCATGAGTGTTTTCCGCTTTATACTCGCAGTTACCAGCATGGCGTTTTGTTTCTAAATATGATACAATCGTGCTTTTCAGGGAAATGGGGAAAAAAATATCATAAATCGAAACGAAAGTTGAAGCCATCCTTTTCCAGAAAACTCGCATAATGATCCTGCCATAAAAACCCACGCCCGAATAGCTGGTGCTTTACTTTAATACATGTACTCGAAATACCGTAACAATATCCTTTTAATTTAATGGACAACAGCGCATTATTACTATTACATACTAAGGGTATGTTTTAATCACGAAAACCTGCACGTCCTTTTTACTCTAAAAATACTGTTCCCACATCCTGCAGTTTAATGTATAATTCAGTCGTTTGGATACAGGGTATCGATTCTGTTTACGAGCAAAGAACCAGTCACGAACAACTATTTCCGAAAGCGATGTCGTCGATACACTGCACGGGCGCACTGTGTAGTACACGTAGGAAGGAATGTGCACGTGTGCTTCCTTTTTGTTCTTATTTTGTTCCTGGGATATTTTATTCGCCCGAAGGATTTACAGCTACTTTGAACACTCTACATTTGAAAAGTGTGTGGGGATCACGTTTTAGGTACACATTTGTTTTTAAATGACATGTACTCAGGAAAGTGATCATCATGAAAGGTGGCTGGAAAAAAGTAAGTAGATGGTAATCTCAGCTGGGCAGGTCCTAATGTAGGTATGCTGACCCAGTTACCATTGCAGCGACTTTTATTTCCCTCACGAGACATCGAACTACTTCAACCACCTGCCCATCTGTTTTGCAAAAGCTTTGGGAAAGTGAAAGTCTGTCAAGTGCTATGAATGACCGATTTTTCCCCGTCACATATGGTGGCAGCATAGACGAAACTTCTTGGAAATTCATGTAACTAAAGGCTCTTCACAAAACATATTTTACTTCCTTGTTTCCCATCACCGGTAACCTTTTTTTTTACAATGGCTGAAATATTTGGAGCCAGACGACTGATAACTAGTAATCCATGCAAGTGCCCATGAAGCCGAAAAAGGACTGTCAGCCAAATCGCAAAGTAAAATAATATACACTGGTGTCATAATTACGGGCCACGACCGCGGTGATGGAGAAATCACAAAAAATGCACGGTTACTTAGATTAATCAAGACGTATCAGTTATTCATTCTTATCACAACATGCTTCAATTCTTTTTACGTCAGCTTGATAAGTCTGCAACATTCAGACAAAGCCAGGAGTTAAAAGTATCTTGTGGCTAGTCAGGCATCATTTCCATGCTAAAACAGGTCCCTGACCACCAACAGCATGCACAACATGCTTCACGAAATGGTTGCAGGTTAGAAACACTTGTTCACGTAGCCTGTTTCAAGTCTCAAGTTTCAAGAGGTGTCTTCCTAGCAATTTCAGTTTCACCATTGACAACATTCCGATGGTCTTCTTAAAGGGCTGGTATAAAAGTCGAATTCAGTGGCATAACTTGGGGGAGGGGGGGCATGTCCCCCCCCCCAGACCTGTATCTCCCTCCTACCTCTCAGAATTTAGAGAAGTTAAAAATCTGGTCATAGTCCATCTTGGTCAGAGTTTTAACTGTGATCAAACTCACTGAGATGCCCCCCTTCAGGAGAATGAATGCCCCCAAGAACCCCCCTCCCCCTGCTAAATGTTACCAGTTACACTCCAGATCTAATCTGTTTCTACTACTGGTACTATGAACCCCCTTAGCCTAGAAAATGTAACTGTTCTTAACTTTTACAAATTGAACGTGTATTTGCACTGACAGACAAAAAAATACTGATGCCTGGTGTTACTTGTTACATTCTCGTTTTGTTCATGTACATGTGTAATGAAAATGTACAGTCACCATGACAAAATGAATGATTAAAAGGAGTGGCGAATGTTTGAACAACATTATTCAAGGGTTGTGCCTCTATTTTGTTGATGATGAGAGAATGACCCCGCCCTCAGATGCATTTAAAGAGGGCGCTATACCACCCATCTTGCACTTCTTAGTGTATTAAAAACCAAAGGCTGACTTCACATGTACCATGAAGTTTTGCACCTTTTTCCCAAAGTGTTAACAAGTTGAGAGCTATGGAAAGAATAAGACATGTGCATGTGGGACTTACAGGACAAAACACCTGTCATGCTACTGCAAACAGTCAATGCACATGAACAAGTATTTAAAACAAGCAACTAGGAGAGATTAAAATGCATTGTTTTTAATGCACTTGGTTAAAAGCATTGGAGATATAGACTGGTTGTGCCCGCTGAGTCACATGACCTAGAGTGGGTATTAAATATCAGCAAACACGGTGTCCACCAAAAGCAAGGTGTTTTATTCATATCATTTACCAAAAATAAAGCCGACGGTAGGTACAGTACAGGACTACTGGTGTGCTGGGTACTATATCGTAATTTGGCTGTATTGTTTGTAAACAAAACACTCGAAGTGCATGTTGCTATGGGGTTGAAACCCACTCTAGATCACATGATTTAGTGGATGCAATCAGTCATTAGATTCAATTTATTAACCACTTGCTGCCAGGTGGTTTGAAAAATGCAGTGCATTTAATCGGGACTACTTCAACATTTTCAGTTTGCAAAATTCTTCAAAAATTCATCATTTCAATTAATGGACGTTAACACCCACACAAATTACTGTTTGGTGGCCACTCTAGTCTGACAGACAAAATCTATTGACGCCCAAGTATTTCAGCCAGGCCTGCAGCCTTGTAAAAAGAGCCCAGATTGTGCGGTGTTATATAACTTTCTTTTGTTCACGAACCTGGCACAGTGCACTGCTGACCTCTTTTCAATAGGGGCCAGATTAGCATGCAGTGGTGCTGTGTGGCTCATCACTGCGGTGGTGGAGAGCTTTTGTCCCCAGTGGTAATCTGCTCCCACTGAATGCCCCAACAGTGGTATAGTGTTTCTAAACAAGGCTGGATTATCTCCACTATTGAGAGTGAAAAAATGTCAGTAATGCCCAGCAGGCTGGTCTTTTGTTCTGAGTCCGGTCTTTTGTCACAAGGCCCAGTTCCCTTTGTCTGATTTCAGAGACCCCAGCCACGTGTATAAACACAGGCAGGAAATGGTTAACCCTCTTAAAATTTCAACCATTGTATCTACACAAAAGATAAACTACATTTTAGCATCAGCTTTACTGTATAAAAAGACTTGATTTTCTATGTTTAACGTCCAATACAGTGTATGCCTCCAAATCAGTGCAGATCCTTGCGTAGGACAGAGAGGACGCAAATGTCAACAATAAATCAGAAACTTTGGTGAACTTCCAAGGACAAACCAGATCCTTCCAGAAGAGTTGCAAATGCACTCTTGAGAGACAAGGGATGGGGGATGTCCTTATATGGTTGTGTGCAGGTGTTGATAGGCATGTTTTTCAAGAGCTCATATCAACAAAGCATCCTAGAATTCACAACTAGAGGGTACGCTAGACCAAATAATGCTCAGATATGATCAGATTTTTAGGGTATCATTTATCAAGGCCAGACAACACATCCCATAAAAAATTGTCCCCTGGTTCTATTCATGTATGAATAATATGATGACTTAGAAAATGTCTGACGTCTCACAGTAATTTCACCCTCTAAAACATTCCTCTAACGGCATCATTGAAAATTGGCTGAAAGGCAGTGTCTTCAGAAAAAAAGAAGATAATTTCCAACTGCACAGGATTTTGTACAGTGTTTATAAATTTGTAATGCATACACGAGAAGTGAAAAAAATCGGCTGATCCAAAGCAAAGCTGCATATCTGATGCACCTGTATCCAAACCCTAGCTCCTTCAGCCAGACATGCTGGTATCCTCTACAAAGAGTGTACTCAACAACTCAACAACCTAATGACAAAGACTCCAAGCAGCATGATCTGGGGATTGCTCGTCGGCCAATCAAAAGATAATAGACAGCTTGGCATTCTTTGCAATGCCTGGCAGCTCATCCACAAAGCAATCACAGGGCATAATCTGACTGTCTTAGAGAGTCTGCTTAATCTACGAGAGGACTTCTACGGGAAAAAACTCAGATTTAAGGGGAAAAAACGGAAAAGGCACTGCCTTGTACCTCAAGATAATCTTCTAAACTCATCATATTTGTCGCATGATGTCAAAGTCATCCGCATGGCTCTCTCGTGCATTTTTTTGTCGCCGAAATATCGGGCTCGCTGCATCGCTGCTTCCTCTGCAGAATAAACGAGGAGAATGACAAAGTGAATGACCCCCTCGTTGTTTCTTTTACAATAATGAGACTAACGCTTAACCAGTCTGCACTGGAGGCTATGTGAACACAATCGGAAAATCTATTTTTTATAGGGACTACAGACCGGTGAAACTGTCCACCCTTCCTTGAGCCTCTGACGGTAGATGTACATTCACTCTGAGTTTTCCAACCGTTTTGTATATACACACACAATTGGAAATCTATGGAGATGGACTGAACATTGAACTTCAACTTGACACCTGTACATTGCTTGAATTGCAGTAAATATTGCCAGGACCTCAAAACTGTTTGTAGGTTGCAGTGAGAAGTATTCCATAAATACTGTATGAATGACTTTCAAGAGTCCATATCCATGGCATTTGGAATGTATCTTGGCCAATTTATCTTGCATTTTTCAAAAAGCCGTGTTTTCAGCCCAAAAGAACCCAGCAAGTGTTAAAGTTATTTGTATTTCCAACTTTCAACCAAAGATGACAAACAATATACAGCAGTGAATTAAAAACAGGTACAAGTAGCCATTATGACAAAATGATTTGGGTTTGTGCACTTACTGTTTAATCTTTCTCGGTAACAGTTACTCCGTAAATTATCTACATAGTCCTCTTCAACCCGTTTGTCAATGAGATGTATACGTCCAGAATACTCCTTGTTAAACGAATTCTGAAAAGGCAAATGTAAAACAAAAAACTGAACCATTCCGAAAGCGTAGGAATTTGTACCTCTGTATCACACAGCAATTCTTAACTCACACAGAAGTTCCAAGATAAAAAAGAACAGGTAAACACTCTTGTTTGGACAATACAACGCTAGGAATGTAACTAAACAAGGTGTTGTTTTTAGCAGACTGACTCACCTTAACAAAATACTTAATTTTATTTTCATGAGTAGTTCTTTCGTGTACGAATGATCTGGAAGAGATAAAGAAAGTAAATTATCCACAATGGGCTGTAAAATGCAGAGGTGTTGTTGTGAGATTACAGCGAACTCTTGTGCGTGAATTAACTGGGATGTTTCAGAGGATTTCAGGGAGGTCAGGCTGTACGGCCACCATGCATGGCTGATTTGGAAGGATGTATTGCGTTACTTTTTGTGGTGAACTTTTGCTTGCCTGCGCTCAGTCATGTATAAATATTAACCTTGATTGCACTGGAAATAATCTTTACTGCTCAAGGATATCACTCATGCTGCATCAACATGCTGGCAAGAAATGCCGAAGGATTTTGAAGGATTGAGGCAGTGGTCACGTCTCCAAGTAAGACACAATTTGAAGAGTTGAGGCAGTGTCCAACAATTTACTTGACGGCAGGTGGAGAATTCTAAAGGTATGAGGTTACCTCCTAGCAAAATGGGGCTAGGGTTTTGGGTTAAGGGTTTCAGCTTGTTAGGTGGACGTGCGCTCCAATGCATTGGAATGTAACGCCTCATTGCACATGACATTGTTTCTCATGCTGAGAGGAGAGCCAGTCTACTCACCCTGTCCTGGAGAGACTATATGCAGGCTCTTGAATAAATGCCGTGGATAGAAGAGATATGATGACCAGCATAAAGATCGGCAGAAGCTGAAGAAGAAATGTGTATCGTGCCTACGCAGAACAGATGACAAAAATATATATACACTTTCAAAGACTGAGATCACAGAGCCACATAGCTCAGTTGGTCTAGTGTTATGTGATGCTCGGCGGGTCAAAGGTAAAGAATGCCTGTTCAACTAAATGGATTTAAAACAGGGGCTTAGTCCAAGTTCAGTCCCAGGCCAAAGTCTGAAATTGGCACTACTCTCTCTATATGCGGCTCCAAAGCACCCTCTCGAGCAAGTGCAGAGAGCAGGTGGGGATACACGAACTGACCTCCTCTTGGGATTGGTGCTGGCGTGGATGGTGGGTGCGGTAGTGCCTCCGTTGTCTGGCAATGTCACCCTGTGGGAACCCACCCCCAAAGAACATGTTGAACAGATCCTCCGGGGAAAAATCGTCATCTGCTGGCAAAAACACCACAATAAATACCAGAGCACGAATCCCCTAACCCCCTAGGCTCTTGCACAAGGGAGCATACTGAACCAAACAAAATCCAACAGGTGCATGTACTTGTCTATGTACTTGTACATGCAGGGTGGTGTACCAAACCTGATAAACTCCAACAGAATGAGCCCGTTGGAGTTTGAGTGATATGGTATGGATGAGTCTATGCAGTATAGGATGACTTGCACTGAACAGTACCAAACCTGATGAAATCAAGCATCGTCCAACAATTGGTACAGCAAGCCAAACACTGCACACAATGAACCCTATATGTCCCAACTCACACAGAATCCAACACCATCTCCCGGGGCCTTTGATACCAAGTCTCACAAACTTCAACAAGTTCATCAGGTATGATACCAAACCTGCCAAAACCTAGCAAAAGTTGCTGTTGAAATTTGATGGATACTGGGCAGTTAAGGTAAATGAGGTCACACAAAAACATTCAACATTATTTGCCTTCCCCCCCCCGATAAGTTCAGCCCTTAATAATGCTTAGCAAGTTATAAACTATGCAAAAATCTGCGTGGCACCAGCCAAGCCATGACTTTTGGGCTGGTAACCTGTGTTTGCTAATCAAGTATTATCTGTAGTTGGCTAACTTATGACAATGGTCCCCGTTTGTTGAGTTTAGTGTGGTTCCCTGACTCTTACCATCAAATCCCCTGGTCTCGTAATAGAAGCCTCCATGGTGATGGTGATGATGCCGTCGCCGTCTCACATTACTGACCTCTGGCGATTCATCCCCGAACATGTCATATCTCTTCCTTTTTTCTGCATCACTCAGGACAGAAAATGCTTTTCCAATTGCTGTCAGAAAAAAAAGGAAAACTTATGGTGTAAAATTCAATGTAAAAAAACGGTGGAGTTGAATTTGAACTTTGCTGGTAAGGAATTAGATTGTTTAACACAGGAATTAGATTGCTTGATACAGGGCTACGGAATCTTTTATAAAATCAGTTGTCAACTTTGTGCTTCACATATTTTATTCTTCCATCCACAGTTGTTTCTCAAAGCTATACACAGAGTTTATTTCAGAGTTAATTCAAAAGGAACGTTCAACATAGAACATATTTTTTTTGCAAAAATTCTGACAACTTGTGTAAATTGCTGAATTTCAAGAAGTGTGAAAATTGCAATCAGTCAATTTCTTTCTGGGGGGGATTTCACACAAAATATTGTCAGACAAGTAAAGACTCTTCTCAGCCTTGTATGTCCGGGAGGGCTTGATGCAAGAAATTTGACCAACTAGCAAAAACCTCAACAAAACAGTGTGATGTCCCTGTTACATCCACAGCCTCTTTAAATTGTTTCACAAACTCCCAGGCGACCACCCTTTGGAATTCCTGGGGAAAACGACATCACTACCTACCCTTAAAAGCTTCCCCAGCACCAGGGGCATGGTTTTTGTCTGGGTGGAATTGGAGTGCCAGTTTCCTGTAGGCCTTTTTGATGTCAGCTTCATTGGCATCTTTGGGTATTCCTAGTATTTCATAGAAGTCTTTGCATTTCTTTATTCTGTTAGGAGAGACCAAAGTGACGAGACAACCATTTTAAACCACTTATCGGCAGTAGTCACAATGAACTGGCCCCAAGCACTGTACTATTTTTTTGGCTGAAAATCGTTACTTTATAAACAAGAAGATACAATAGCAACTTTTCCAAACTGAGTTGGGTACACTGACTCCAGAGCCTGCTGTGTGTTGCTCTTTGGTGGAGCTCCAAATTGGTGCACTTTGATGTTTTTCCTGACTTTGTGACTCTGTTGTACAAAACATTACTCTTGACAAGTTTCAAACTCAATGTGGAATTTTGTTTCCTCTTTGTACATTACGAAAAAAAGATCTTGCTAGAACTTTAATGGCGTGAAATCAAGTCCCTGAAACTTTTACAAATGTCTCTAAATTAAAGAATGATCAGATGATGAACAGGCATATTTGAAACAGAACCAAGCTTCCTTTTCTGCAGATTCTGGGGTTCCATTATGGTTACCATTTACCAAAGTACCAGGAAGAGGTCAAAGTGCACCTTGTTACGATGCATGCTGCATGGTAGGGGACCTAATTTGTAAGGGTGGTTCACCTGTTGACTCCTTTCAGCTGTTCATCTGTGTAGTTTCGGTTCACACCGCCGTTGGTCTCTGCGGCCTTCGGCTCTCGTGATGCTGACGAGTGCCTCTGTCTTGGGGATGGCCCGTTGGTGCTCCCCGCGGACGTGTGTTGCCGCTCTCTGGACTCTGGCTGGTCAGCCGAGTCAGGCTGGTCAGTGGAGTCTGGCTGGTCGGCAGAGTCTGATGAGGATGTGGAACTCTTTTCTTCATGACTGTCAAGATGTTGCAAGAGGTCTACTCGGAAACAAGAATTACACGATCATGGCTCAGAAAGTAATGAGACACACGTGCACAGAACCTGGTGCTGATGTGAATCCCGTGAGTCTTGAAAACATGTTGTGGCAAAGAATGTTGCATCGTGACTCCACTTCAGCACACTCTGTGTATAAAGTCTATGGGGATTCAAGAAAACCTCATGTTTCACAGTTGCTCTAGATATTGTAGTTTGCACATATGATTGCTGAAATTCATGGCTTTGCCTTGTGAAGTGATAATGGATTTCTTCATTTTTATAAATAATGAACAAATGGTCGTTTAGGTAGTTTGTTGTTGTTAAGTTGAAACTTGAATGACCCTAGCTGTAGAGAACAAATATCTTTCACTGTACAACTGTACAAGAGAGGATCAGTGCATATCTGTATCTGAACGTTGCAGACACCAATTCTGGCTTTGATGCAACGGAGAGAGAGGGTATGTGTTGGATCTTGCTACGTAGAGTGAGGCCTGTGAGCAAGGAGGTTTTGAAACTTCCCGAGTCCCTTTGAACAAAGATGTGGTGGGGGTGACTCCAGTCAATAATTGATCTATTGAAAAAAGGGTTTTAAGTTTTAAATGTCAGTTGTATCACACAGTGAGTTCCTGAAACTTAACATTGTTAAGAATCTGCATGGCTTTTCTGCAATTTAATGATAATAACAACAGTTTTTATATAACGCCTTACTAAACTAGCTTAGATCAAAGTGCTTTCCACTTGTATTACCCTTGCTCACTGGGCCCATGAAACATTCTAAATACCATCTCAGCTCCCTGGGGAGTATACAGCTTGATGCTACCATTTCTGCGCAACGCGGCTCAATCAACCAAAATAAAAATGTGCCCTCACAGGTACCCAATCACTCCTGGGTGGAGAGAGAGGCAATGAGTGACAAAGTGCCTTGCCCAATGAGCAGACGCACCATGACCCCAGGCTGGATTCAAACCCGCAACCTGCGGCTTCATAATGGCTGCTTTACCCGCCAAATACAAATCTGATGCTCTTAACCACAAGTTATTGTAAATAGCGTAATACTGTTGTTTTACAGTAAAAAGATAATCAATGACTCGCGGTGTCGTGTTGTTGGTAGCTACCAACAACACGACACCGCAAGTCACCGATTATCTTTTTACTGTATTTGTCATCCACCACGGTGATTATGTTTATCTCTTCTACTGTTGTTTTATTTGCATTTTTGGTCAACAATTTCCACTTTTCAACGAGAAGAAAGCAGGAAAGGATTAAACGCACTGGTGTGGTGGCGCCCTTCACTTTCATGATAACGTAAAAATTGAACAGGCTTGACGACTGTTCTTACTAGGGCCGAGGCCAGGGCCGTCATGAATAACCTACGGGAAATTAGTCAATATCTCACCTTTTGCTCGTTGTGACGGATACAGTCTTTGTGCTTTATTCAAGAACCTTCTGGCCTTTTCATAATCTCCTGTCGAAATGCAGTTTTCGGCGATTCTGATACACTTTAAACTGTCCTCCCTATTGCCTTCCATGATGGTTTAGTACACGTACGTATTGCGCGAAATGTAATTTGTGCGATGCTGCATCGGTGGTGTACACCATGTACACATGAATCGTACACACACAGCACTATCCATACGATGACTGGTACTCTTATTGCATTACCAGTGAAAAAAAAAAGGGTTTAGTTAATATCATTTCTTGAAAATTAGTAAAATATAATATAGTTACCTGTGTTTATGTTATTTAATTTGTTTAGATGTAATGCATTTTGTAAATTGGATTTTTTTGCAAAACCGGAAATTATTCGCAGTTGGTAATAAATAAATGAATTGACCTCAGAGACTTTGCCCTTTAACCAGATAGTCTGATATCCATTCTCCCTGAATATCTACCATGAATAAAAAATAGTAGACTGGTGGCTTCGGTTTCATGCAAATCATCATCATGTGATTTGACATGACCCAGTTGCGGCCGGATTGCTCAACGAATGTAAACAACCAAGCTTAGCTAGCTAGCTTAGTGTAGCTAGCTCTAGATCTAGAGAGGCGCAGTGCTTCAGCGTGGCAAGGACGGAGGATCATCATTTCCTGATGGCTTTCTTCAATTAGAGTGTAAGTTGCTCATCTGATTAGACAGAATCTGTGAAAAAAAATTCAGGATGGTAACTTGAATGGGGGCGCGGTGGGCTGATGAGGAACGTGAGCTCACATCATTGAGGAAGCTATGTCTATGATCAGATGATGGTGTGGCAAAAAACATGCAGAAATTTCAGGCAGTGGACGGGGACGGAATGATGGGGCTCGTGGGTGGGGGCTGCTACAGAGGAGCAGACACTAGTGACATGCATTCTCTCTTGTTTGGATAACCATGTGATTGAATCTGAAGTGAATGTTGTGACATTGATTGATTCATGTTTGAGAGAATCACAAAGTGGTAAGTTTCTTTTTTTTTCCCAACCACATCAGTTGAATAATTACATGAATAATAACAATAATGTCGTGTATTTACTCTACGTGTGAAGGGCACAAAATTCGGCTTTTGCTGTGGTGGAGCAGTTTTAGAGCTCATTTACCTAACAATACTACTTAAGCTTGTTAAAGTTTTAGAAGTTTAACTGATTTTTAACAAGTTGTATATTATATTCTCCACTTGTTGACCGTGTCTGTAACAAGTTTTCCATGGAATTGCTTGACATTGTAACGTTTTGCCTTTTATTACAGGTATGTGAACGCTGATCATAAGAATCAGTATGCAGATGTGTGGAAGTGTTCAGGTTTTTTCATCTAGGCTTAGCTTTTGGCTCTTCGTTCTCTGTGTACTGGCATCTTTGTGGCAATTCGGTTCATCTAGCAGCTTGCAAAAACTGCCATTCCGGGTCTCAGGCCAGGTGCAAGATTTTCTGGGCTTCCAGAAGAGCGAAGATGCAAAGCACGCCTCCAAGAGTGATCGGATCGATAAACTTTTCAACGTGCTCCCGGGTGTCCTGAGAGCTTACGGATATCCCAATGTTGAGGAGAAGTTGGAAAGGCTCCGTTGCCACTTTGATGCCGTCAATAAAACAGGATTGGGGCATGATCCCGACATCAAGTATAATGTGGTGGGTAAAGGTATCAGACTCAGAATGCTATTCCAGGTACCAGTTAACTAGGCAGCTTAGAATCTGTGGGGCTAGCTCATAGTTGTTACTCATTTTTAAGGATGGAGATCACAGTTTGTGATGAAGTTATTTAAAAAAAACATTTCAAAAAGAGCTTGTGTTTAATTTGGATTAGGTTTTGTCACTTCTTTAAGTATATCAGACTAGCACATAGGCATGATGGTCTATGAAATGTTCTCTGGCCTTCAATAAACTGATAAGATTATTTGCATTCAGGTCTCAACCAAGCAAAGATTAAACCGAAAGGTCAAGCTAAGTTATAAACTTTATCAGCTCAGGCCCACAATGCAACTAGCTTGCCACTTGGACTTCAGCAGAACAAAACATTCTTTCATGGAGTAGATGGTTAAATTGATTTTATGACTTTGTAAATTAAATTTTATTATTATATTCTCTTGTTTGAAAATGTTGGTTTGGATGGAGCATTTTTCATACCCAAAAATGTTTCTTTGGCATATCTGAAAAAAAAATGTGTTCCACAAGTCTGAAAAATGAGTCATAGACTTTTCAGTGATTTTGTCGCTGTCTTTGCAAGCTCATGGCATTTTCAGATAAACAACATATTCAAAATGTTTATATTGGCTCTATTTTATCTCGGGCTGTAAAAAATTTGATCAGTAAACAGTCACATAGCATGTTAGTTTGGCAAGCAATAACCTTTGGAATAAGTTCACAAAGAACAATGTAACCGTGTAGCTTTTTTTGTTTACACAAAGCCAGAATGAGCCAACATCATCCGATTGGTCAGTCTTGATCACATGTTAATCAATTATTTGTTTGCAAGGCCCTGATGCAAAAAATAGACTCGACAGGACCCTCAGGATTATTCAGGAAACTTAATGGCTAAAACTAAGATTCTGATTTCTGATTTGATTGTAGAGTGGCCTCATCGCTAGCCATGGATATCCGGTAGAGGAGCATGAGGTTCATACAGCAGATGGGTTTATATTGACGCTTCATCGCATACCGTATGGTGTCAAAAACAGCAGCAAAGGTGATGGATGATAAACCATTCATTAACTTTGAGCAATGATACTGGCCGATTTATCTTTTTGCAAACGGACCAGGTGTTGTTGCCTTCAACAGAGGAATCCTGACAACTGAATTCATCTTTGAATGAAATCTCTTTGAATTGAATAGGTTACTTCTTTGGATAGATGCACTGATGATTGCGTGCATAAGGAGAGTTCTGTTAGGGGTTAGGAAGCATGCAGAGAAAGTATCATGCTCGTCCTGTTACTCTTTGTAGGAATGCTCCACCTTGCGATCATCTGAATGATTTTGACAGCACCCTATCTTTCCTGTCCAAGGTCCCAGGGAGGTCGCCTTCCTCCAGCACGGCTTGCTGGCTGCTGCATCCAACTGGGTCACCAATCAGCCCAACCAGAGCCTAGGCTACCTCCTGGCAGATGCCGGCTATGATGTGTGGATGGGCAACTCACGCGGCAACACCTACAGCAAGAAGCATGAGACCCTCAAACCTGACCAGCGAAAATTCTGGGAGTGGACGTGAGTTGGTCCCTTCACAAGGCCCGACTCTCAAGTCTGGGGAGAATAAACTTTGGAGCAATTATCCTGGGGAACTTATTTGGCTCTGCAGTAAAAAGAAAGAACATTTTAAAGAAATTTCTGAAAATTTGAGGAAGTGTAAAGACACTTGGGACAAAAGTTGGAAAGATTAGACTAACTTAGATAAGTTTAAATTTAAAGCTAAACTGAATTTAAAAAGGCTGGGGGCTGGTGGCATTAAGTACAGACCTTTCGGAAGGTTTCGTACCGTTATTTATCCTGCACTTGGATTAAAAAACATCTTTTTTCCCCCACTGAGCATTTTAAAGAATATTGTTTCAGTTTTTCAAAATGACAACAAATTTCAGTATAATGAGCAATCAACTCCTATGGAGTTCAAATAGGTGAATATTTTCCTTATATTTTACATATATTTACATATACTAAATAATTGATCAGGTGGGATGAGATGGCCAAATATGACCTACCAGCCTGCCTGAACTACGCCCTGAACAAGACTGGACAGAAAGAGTTGTATTACATCGGCCACTCACAAGGTATTGTGTCTGAGCTAATTGGGCTAGACATATGAGTATGAGGACTAGCAATGTCCTCAGAGGCTCTGAAATCTTGTTGCATGCTGTGCACATGTTGTTATCTGTTGATTTTATGTTAACTTGTGCCTTTGGCTCTTTGACAGGGACCATGATTGCATTTGCCGAGTTCTCCCGCAATCAGGAGCTGGCGAAAAAAGTCAAAAAGTTCTTTGCCTTGGGCCCCGTTGCAACAGTGGGGTACATGACATCACCTTTGTTCAAATTTCTGAGCGAGGACCTGCCTGACAACTTCCTGACAGTGAGTGTAATTGCAGATTTTGTTTTTTAGAAGTAACACAACCACTGATCATGCAATTTCTGAAGACCATTTCATTTCCTGGGTCTCCTTGTACTATAGATGTTTCTTTTGTGCGCCACATTTGTGGTCCAGCCCATCTGCCATCTGAAAGGGCTGTAGTCATGTGACATGAATTCTGTTAAATCCCCTGGTCACACACTGGTTTTACCCTGCGTAACAGCCAAGTATTTTTTATTTCATTGATGTAATAAAACTGAAGACTCCTGTTGGCTTCCAAATTGAGGAGTTTATGTGCTTGGAGCTCATTTTCATTTTTTCCTATTAAAGTCGTCCAACTTTGTAACCATTCCACCTCAGGAAGTTCTGGCATATCTTCACCTTTACGACTTCTTCCCTAGCGATGAGTTCTTCCGTTTCCTCGCGGAGACAGTCTGTAGTGAGCGGGAGACAGTGTTCATCTGTGAGTTTGCTTTGTCCATGTTTGTTGGCTACAGCAGAGAGCATATGAATGCCAGTCGGATCCCTGTGTATGTGACCAACTGTCCAGCAGGTACATCAGTGTGGAACATGGACCATTGGGCCCAGGTAACTAGACTTCAACTGGAAAAGACAATCTTATACATTTCTTTAAAATTGAATGCAGAAAAGAGGCCAGCTTCCAACATTTAGTAATCTTGAATCTTAAGATTATTAACTCTTTCTGTACAACGTGGGGATATGGCCAACTTGTATTTTTGCTTCAAAACAGCTTAAGGTCTGTTAAGGCCTGTGGGCTCAGCCAACTGCAACAGTTTGAAATTTGATTTTCTGGTTGTCCAGGAGTCAATTTGTATTGAATGTGACTGACAACTTCTCAAGCTGAAAAAAAGGAAAAACAGACAGAAGGCAGTAAGAAATGGATTTTGGAAAATTCGGAGACACAGGGGTTTATAGAACCTTTAAACTGTCACCGAAATGATTTTTGTGTCTTTGTTTCAGATGGTGACGTCTAAAAAGTGCTGCATGTATAATTTTGGTCCGAAAGGCAACATGAAACATTACAATCAGGTTTGTTGATTTGTCTTGCTGGATGGATTGATAGAAAACAACCCAGTTCACAAAAAAGAATGGGAATATAAGCAACAAACAACCATTGAAGCATAAGGATTGATGAGCACATTGGTAGTGTGTGGAAGAGTTATGGCCTTTGTTTTTGCTGTTAATAACTGCACAGTGTGATCTTTTAGTGGCAGAATGGATTGCCAATGAGAAATTTTATTACAGTGAGATTATATCTTGCCATAGATACCAAAAATTGGTATGGCAATTCAGAACCAACAGAATCTAGCTCCAGCAAGTCATCATTGCACAAGTATTAGAGGAAAAAATGTGTGACGCAAAGGAAGTGCCCTCTCTAAACCTGCCCTCCTGTTTTTCATGCAGACCACACCCCCAGAGTACAAGATCGAGAACATGGAGACACCCACGGCACTCTTCTACGGTGGCCTTGACACTTTGGCAGATCTCAAGGATGTTAGTCTACTTATACCGAAGATTAAGCACCTATTCTACAATAAGGAAATCCCAACCTATGGCCATCTAGATTTTATATGGGCCATTGATGCCCAGAGCTTTTGTTACAAGGATATATTGGGTCTTATGTGAAGGCCCCCTAGACTAGAAAGTTTCCATTTTCTAGTCAGTACACCTCTAGCGTCAGGCTTTAGGTGTTAGTGCCCGATGACCAGGCCAATTGTTTTTCCAAAATCTGTCGACTGATAGCAATCCTACAATTTTTTTTTCAATGGTTTCTTTGTATGGGGCACTATAGCTTCTATATTCTACCCATTACAAACTGTACACGTATGTATTCTTGTGTAAGAAGTATATGCACTGTTCCCTTTTGTTTGTGCAAGTCATTGATCTCAAAAGAGGCCAAAGTTTGCATATCAGTAAATAGCAACTCGGAGATCATGCAAGAAAAAAATAGACACTTAATTGGGGAGCCTTCTGTTCTAAATTGCTACTTGTCAATGCAACGTAAAACTGAGATTATTTTGAAATCATTGACTCTTTGGAGATAGAGTTGTTACTTTATGTGCAGATAATATTCCTAGTAAACCTGTACTTGAGATTTGTTTTACCAATAACCATGTTTTTGAAAGCCATTATGGCCTAGACTTATCAGTTTGTTTAAAACCAGACTTTGGTCGGCCCAAAATTTGCTGTTTTTGAATAAAACCTGTCTGAATGTTTGAATCTTTCTGTAATTTCTGTAACCGATATCTACGACACAGACACTTTGGCCCAGAAATTACAACCTTTATGAAAGTAACTTGAAGACTTGCCACATCTTAGCCAAAAATGGGCAAAGTCTGTTCTGTTTTAAGCCATTAGCATGCAATCAGTTTTGTGGGATCACAACCTTTAACTTTGATATAAACTTATCTTAAACATACTGTAGCGGTGAGAAAATTGCGTCATTGCTTCCTGAAGACTTTTGGGGAAGATTTTATAATCAAGTGATATAGATCTGTGGACAACTTTTACCGTGAGATAATCGGACATTTTTCATGTTTCTTATTCGTAATCGAGTAGAGCAATAAGGATTTTGTGACCAAACTAACCAAATACATGTATTTAATCTATTGCCATTCCCACACATACCTGCTCTTGGGTGATATAATTTGTATGCATTAATTATTCGTTAATTTTAGTGCTTCTCCAAGACTAATTGCACTGTGCTATGACTAATGGGCTATTGCAGGAATCCCCAACTGGCTCCGCCCAGTATTTTATTCTACAAAAGTACAAGCATCAGCGGTGTGTGATTTTTACAACCAAAATCTTCTTTGGATCAGGTCACAGGGACGTCTCAGATGGATCTTATTTTGCTTATACACGTATTGTAATTGTGTTATTTATGGTTTTAGTCGTTCCAAGCTGTGATTTGTATATTTGGCTTTCTGTTATCACTCGTGTTGGTGCAAATATCTTTCCTCAAATTTAAAAAACCTAGAAATCGTCAACACTGTCAATGATCTTGCAGTTGTTTTGCAAACCAATTTTGCAGCTGATTGGGTGAATTTTAATGATTAATCATACTCTAATTTGAAATAAAATAATGGTTTAATTTTTATGTCCCAATGTATTGTTTTCTGCATCGAGCAGGGGCTAAACGTTTTTTGTAGTGTTAATGTCACTCGGGAATTTCAAGATATCTTTAGAAAAGATTTCATTTTGTTAACGTTCCCTGAAAGTTGTTCTGTCCATGTAAATTCTAAACGTGTACCTGTGTACAGTCAAACACAGAGAAGAGCAGTGTTAATACATGAGGGGTATAACAAGGACAATGTTTGGGTCTAAGGTAGTTGATTTTCTTTGTTTTCTATTTCTGATAATACAAGGCAAGTATTATAACAAGGTAATTTGTGAAGTCCCAAGGCCCTTGTTTTAAGAGCTTTCCCACAGTAAATCCTTCATTTCATGCAACTAACGTGTACAGCAAAATTATGCAGTGTTTTGCCTTTAAAATTGTGCATTTTTTCCATGAGTGACTTTTTTGTAATTGTATTTCGGTTTGAATAAAAACTGCAATGCTTCGAACACTAGTCGTTTCAGTTTCAATAGGACTGAAAATCGAAGGGAAAATGTCACATGAAGTTTAGCTTGGTGGAATCTGCATCCTGGTGATTTAAATTCAGATTCCTTGCACCTAGTCTTCCTGGCAACACTGAGGCTATTGGGTTAAAAACGAACAAGGTTAACAAAATGTAGGAGGGTAACGCCTTCCGTAGAAAGCTATCTCCAGCAAGAAATGAGACCGAGGGGTACCCCCCAACATGTCCAATCACTATACACACTCTAGACTACTGTCCAACACATCCCTCCTAGATGTCTGAAAGGAATTCCCCAGATTCCTGCGAGACAATGACCAACACAAAGCAGGGGGGGTCTCTCCATCTTGTACCTTGCTTCATATGTGGAATGCACACTTGAAAGAGCAGTTTGAATAACTGCACCCTTTCAAAGATGCAGATATCCTGTTTGACGGGCATTGCCAAGTTCCGATAGGCTTTTGAGGTTCCAGTGTTAACATCTGGGAAAGGTGCAGACAAACCACAACAATGTCCTTCAAGATAAAACATATCTCGGACCACACTGAAACTTCGTTTTGTAGACAAATAGACCACTGTAATTCCTTGAGCACACCAATGAAAACCATTTCTCATGTATAAAACGGAGAACCCTCCAGTGTTATTTCCCACTCAAAACTCTTATATCACAATCTACGCTAAGTAAACAAATACAAAAATCACTTCCTGTAATACACAACTGTCATTCATTTAGATTAAAAATCACAGGCCAAACTCGCTTCAGAATTTCCTACAATTTTGGTTCTTTGGGGTAAAATTCAGACTCGGGCCTAATCTGTTGGGAAACGAGAATTTTTGCAATACGAAATTAGCATGTGGAACACAAGCCAATTCCTGAAGTTAAAAAACAGTGATAGTTTTGGCCTTTCACAGGAATACAGGTTTAAGAATAATCACTTTCTAAAAAAAGGAATGCATTCACTTGCCCATTTGAAATCCTCGACCTCAAAATTGCTTTCCATTTGGGTCCACGCACACTTATACCATGCAAATTTACATGTATCTGTGAAGAGCTAATTTACATGTACAGAGATTATTCTTGGCTTGCTACACGAGGGAATTTCTGAAAATACAAGAAAACCTACAAGAGGACCGCCGCTCTCTGGGAACAAAAACTACCAACTGAATGAAAATAATGTTTTTTAAAAACCAACATCTAACAATTCATACAAACTAAGGCAAACTAACTTTTGAAACAATTTCTAAACCCATGTATCGTACTACAAACTACGTGTGTATACGAGGTTTTTATGCAGTATTTACATCCGGCTGGCTGATCAGATCCGGCCGATAAAAACCCACTTCCCCCTTTTCCCCCACAATGTCACCGTCTCATACTTGCTCATTTACATTAAATAAAAACGCTCTGTCGAGAGCCCTATTTCTGACAATAAAGTTGAAGAAACAACTGATTTCACAAAAATTTAAGCATTACAATCGTCAGAACCAAGACAGGATAACCTGACAAAGATGTGGGAAAGTTTCTGTTTTCAATCTTTCTGTTTGGCCGTTTGTGCCGGAGGTGTGGTCAGTTGAAACTGTGACAGGACAACAGCCATTCAGCTGACGAGGTTGTTAGACGGTTGTTAGTGCTGAGGTGGATTTTTATGAAGCCTTCTGCGATCCCTTCTTGCCGATCAGACTCTTATGGATGTGAGGAATGACACCTGCAGACAGAATTAAAAACAAAGGGCACGGATTCAACATTTATGACGAGATCCCTCATTTAAACGAGTCTCAAGAAATCTGTTTCTTCAGTTATGTTCAGTTTGCATTAAAAAGAGCAACCCGAGCTCTTGGGTTGACAAGCTCTTGGTGTGACGTATCATTCACTCTGTAAATATCCTGATAGAATGGCAGAGCTTAAGATGTTGGGGGTTACGCTGGTGCGACTCAAGTCATTTAACTAGGTAGTGTTAACACTTTACCAACCAAATTTCCACAAACCTACACCATTTTGTCATTGTTTTATACCGAATGCAAAATGCATTCAGAACGAAACCTTCGAATGACGCAAACATCCATCCCATGTGGCCAACTCATTCCCAGGTACAATTCAATGTATGAAATATCAAACACAACGTGTACATGTATTCTGTTAACAGCCAATGTTTCCCCTGTTCTTTGGATTGAAATCCAATTAAACTGCATAGTTATTTTAATCCAGCAAGGCACTGACAAAGGTTTGAAGTCAGTAAATCACACATTTAGAAATGAGCTTCTCAGAGAGGACTGGTAACCTCAACTGGAGTAGCTATGCACGTGACATTCAGGCTAGCCATTCACATGACAATCTGGCTAGCCTTATAGTGCCTACACTTCATATTAAATCACTTTTCGCAATGATCAGGCATTGATTCAGGAAACCAGCAACACAATCACAATGTCTTGTCTCTTAATTTGTCTCATGTAAATGGCTGTAAGTTATGAAGTCCAAAACCAAGTGGATACATACCACCGCCAGCAATTGTTGCCTTGATCAGTGAATCCAATTCCTCGTCACCCCTGATAGCTAGCTGCAAGTGACGCGGCGTGATACGCTTGACCTTCAGATCTTTGCTGGCATTGCCCGCCAATTCTAAAACCTGGAAAATGGAAAAGAAAAAATTGCAGTTTGCTCGTTTGGACAACATTCACAAAAAAAGATGGACTTTTTTTATATTGAACCAAAATTAAGGATGGATAGAATGGTGCAAATATAGATCTTGTTCAAATGCAATACATTTTCAAATTAACAAGTTCACACTCCCAACTCCGTTCAGCATAGGCCTGACATAAGGGATATTTTCAACAGCAATGAGCATATTCTATGAATTTCAAAAAACAATGGAGGTAGCAAAACAACCTTACTCGAAAATATTGACCTTGAAGTTGAAAACGTGGCAGAATTTAAACAATGAGGCTGGCCCAAGATGTCAATGCTGTTTCGTAGGCCTAACATTAAACTGAACGTACAGAATACCCAAAGTGGAATTATGAATAATGCTGTATTAGCAAGGCCTAGACCTACCATTAAATTACAGGCAGGGGATCTAGGCCCTATAAAACTAAAAAAGTAAAAAAAAAACCTGCCAGGTTATAATGGAAACATTGCCTCTCTAATGTCTGTTCTCAAAATAGCCTTATCCCTTGCTGTATAGGGCATGTAAGGAGAGCCCACAAAAAACAAGACTTTTCAAGGACTTAGTTTCAAGAATGGTTGTAACATTCAGCCTAGGCTATGCAGTTTCATACTTGAACAGTTCTCCCTATAGGCCTAGGCTAGCTCAACTAAAATTAAAGACAATATCAATGACCTGGTTAAATATTTTCTTCATACATGAAGTTGCCAAAAACCCACCAGTGACCTCTGGCCTGAGCATGGCGTCCGTTTCCAAATTTTCGCGCCAAAATTTATAAACACAAATCCGGCCAGTAAAAAAAAAGTGGAGCACCAAAGTTTGAAAGTAAATATATGCAGTAAAATGTACATTTCACCACCCAAAACTCTGTTCAGAAGATTACAGCTGTCCTAAATTCGTCATGAAAAATCAACTTCACTTGCGAAGAATTTCAGCCCTAACCATTCGCCGACAATGTTGACAACGCGCGCCAAATTCAATTCAAATTTGAAACGACGCTAGTATCGCAATGTTAACCATGAAAGTATGGATTTAATACATGTTTTGAAAAACATCACTTATGAAATTAAAAAAATCTACCTCAGCTGTAAGGTATTCCAAGATAGCAGCAGAGTAAACGGCGGCAGTGGCACCGACTCGCCCATGGCTGGTTGTTCGGTTCTTCAAATGCCTGTGAATACGGCCGACCGGGAACTGCGGAAGAGGTTGAAAAAATCTGTAATTTACACCTTTCTCGACAAAATACAGACCCTTGTGTAACTGTGTCGGTGGCATTCTACGGACACACACTGTAAGTAGGTAAAAATAAAAAATGTTAAGGGTTTACCTGAAGACCTGCCCTTGCTGATCGTGAAACAGCTTTAGCTTTCGCCTTTCCGGAATCTTTACCTGCTTTACCTCCTGCCTGCAGAACAAAATTGCACAAATTTGATACGTTTTAGCACGAGTATCTTAAAACTATAAAAGCATTCTTAAAAAGGAAATATTCAAGAGAATCAAAATTTAAAAAATATGGGTGGATGCCTGAAAATTGAGCCATATTTCAACAGATTCGGGAAACATACTCACCATCTTTGTCTATTCTTGTCTTCCTCTGCAGCCGTTCCGTATACAACGCGTGCCCGCGTAAAATGTAACAGACGCTTATAACATCAAAATGACCTCATCACGTGATTGTGTACGGCCAATAGAATGACGGGGATTGCAAATCATGAATATTCGTGAATCTCCGGCTTTGTTCGGGTCACTATACAGCGGGGGCATTTTTTCGCCGAGTTTCTCAATGACAAAAGATTTGAACAAATGGACAAATTAGCAGCTGGTCTTTCCCACTAAAAATTCCAGGGTCATTGTCTTCAAAACTTGGGAACTGAAGAACTACGTGATGGCTGCAAATACTTCGGTGTAGATGGTCAGGCCACGCCCGTTTAACTTGCATTTTACGGAACAAAAACTCAGGGTCATTGTTTTAAACGGGCTTCTCATGCATTCATTGAAGGAGCTAGAAAATAGGCTTAAAGTTTGAGTATATCCACAAATTAAGCATAATTTCGTGACTCAAACATTATAATTTCCTTCGATGTAAGGTCCATTCTCCTTTTGGGGGAGAGGTGGGGTGGATGGTGAGCCAATCTCTACTGGAAATCCAGCTGTGCAAATTATAATACATGTTGATGTTTTCAATTAAAAATAAAGATGTCTTGTTTAAGGGTCCAAATTCATTTCAATAAAAGTGGAGTTTAAGGGAGTTCAAAATAGGACACGAAGAAAAAAATCAACAAAGGGGTATTCGTGTCACGTCTGCTAGCAAAACAACATGGCTTCTAAAACGAGACCTCTAATAGGTAGGCCTGTAGAAAATTACGCAAGAGGGATACAGTGATATAAATTTCGTATTCATTTGTATGTGAAAATTCACTCCTCAAGACAGCTATACAAAGATAATTTTTTTTAGAATTACTAAGTTGGTTCGGAAGAAATCCAAGTTCCCCGTCGCAATAACAAACGGCAATTTTTGACAATCATATACGAAACTGTTCACTGTGGCCGAGCCCGTAATGTATGAGAATGTTTATTTCACCCGTGACAGAGGGGCTTAATAGGTCTGTCGCTGAACTTACTTATGATCAAAATTAAATCGAATTTAATTCGTTGGTGAAAAGACGCTATTTTGATGTAAAGAGACCTATTAACCCTACACAGCTCCTTAATTTCTCAACAGGTTCATATTTTCTATCAAAGAAAAGTAATACCTGTTAAAACATTAAACATGTATTTATTGTGCGAGTTATCACTTGGAGAACACAAGCACGACCATCCAATTACGTAACTAATAAAAAAAGAACCATTCGAAAACGCCTCTATGTTGGTCAACCGAGGAACTATAGAGGGCGCTGTGTTGCATGAATCAGGGGCAGCCCTTGTCTGTGGCGTGGTGGGCAACGTGATAGACATGACAAAACCCCCATGTTTGTGATGAGCAGTATTATGGACAAAGCTTCTCCACACTTTAATTTGTAGATTTTTACACGACACAGGGAGGGTTATGTAATTTATTATTTAAAATAATGAGTCCTTTCTTTGTTCTGTACCATCATAGGTCGAGCTTACGAGTGATTGGCAAACCATGTCACAAAAAGTGAATAATAAACAATTATACTTTTTAAGAAGTCCCAGGCAGCTGTAGAAGTCATTCGTACGCTGCTGGCGTTTCCATGGTGTCTCTTAGGCTGTTTTTGTTATTTTAATTTAGCTATTTAGCTAACAAATGCACAAATGGTTTACTCGAGCCTATCCCAGTGTTACAAAGCTCAGTGCCCTCTGAGGACGTTTTAACACTAATTCATGAGCTACATACACAACCAATCAGTTTAGAGGGGGACAAGCACAGAAGTTTCAAGAACGTGCTTTTGCCGAAACCCTTTATCAGGTTTACGAAATTGCCTAAACCTTCTAATTCCATCACACCTGTGATTAGGTCGGGCTCTAAAGTTCATTTTTTCACAATAAATGAATTTACTTACAGCAATAAACTTTAATTGGTACGATCGACGAGAGCATGCTTAGAACGAGAGCGTGGAAAGGCACCAGGAGCACCCTTGGAACGAAGAAAAGAACAGAACTAGGCTGAGGTGGAACACACTTTCAATAGGAGCACAATGAACGTTAGACCGATCCTACGCGTGGTGCTATCCTCCTGGCTCACATCCGGGATGAAAGTAGTTTCATTTTGCAAATTTTCACTTTGAGAGTGTATCCGTATAATAAAAGCGAAATTCACGTACAATTTGAAAAGAGATGCTTAGGCTTTGGGCCCAGTATTGATGGATCGCTTTTTACCCCAAGGTTCAGGCAAATTACACAGCGCCCTCTCTCAAGGACCAACCGGGTCAATTGTGGAATGCATAAAGTGGGTGCGCCAAGGGGCGGGGGGGGGTCAGAGTTGTCTAACTTTCTCGGCGTTTTCCAAATTATTTCAGGGCGAAATAATCTTTAATCGCCCATCTTTGGCCCTACATTGTCTCCCAGTGTTTCAATGGCATAACTGGGGGGTTTTGAAGGGAAAATGGAAAACAAACAGCACCTAATTATGTGTAACTCAGTATGCTCACGGGGAGCAATTGAAACGCCCAATTAATCCCAAATTCCTGCAGTACCCTGCAAAACGCACCACCAAATATAACAAAACAAAACACATGGTGTCAAATAACTGCATAAAAGTTCTTTTTAATCATTCTCGTCACTTATATATAAACATCTTGAGTTTAGGATTCCAACAATTTGGCTTCATGAATGATATCATTGGGTTCACGTACATGCTACTCTGAACCAAAATCTAGATTGGGAACCTTTTGCAAAATCGGGCTACCATAAGTCCGTGGTTAAGACCGGGCAGTGGTTCGAAACCGACAGTGAAATGCAGACTCCTGCCACGCGCGCATGCGTCATCGGTAGAGACATGCGCACTGGAAATGAGGATTTTACTTTCATCATCACAATGTACACGGTATCCGCGATCGTTTTCGTGTGTAAATTCACTGCCATTTACTGGTAACATTTCGTGACTGATCCAAATTTGATAAATCTTTACGGCAGGCTTTTCTCACAAGCATTTAATTTTTGTGTTGCACATTTTGGAAGTGCCAGCACCTCCAGCAGTTTTAAGGGCACGTATATTCACGGTGAAGTTTCGCCATCTTGCACCGCTTCGTGGCGCTATACGATCTTTGGTTTTAAGGTATTTCAGACACGTTTGCTTTTTGGACTTAAGGGGTTAACATTGCTGATACCGAATTCCTAATTGTTACATAGATTTTCATCAATTTAAATGGGTGAAAAGTCCATGTTTTGTGCAAAAACGGGTGAACACTAAGCAAGCCAACTTCTAATCAATACTATGGGGTGAACTTTGTTCATTACAAGATGTCACTCGATGACTTGGGCAGGTGACCCATCGTCAACACAGTAAAACCCCATGGAGCTTCCTCCGTGGTAAAATTGCAACAGGCAAGTGGCTTATATGTATTACAAAATTAACTGATTACATCATGCAAACCTATATGAGGGAGAAACCTCATTTGCATCATGTGACTTTAATTCAGATAAGAGACTATCGCTATATATTTACGCAATGAGCGTAGTCCACACTTTAAACCCTAAAAATGGCTCAATGTGTTCAACTGCAAAGGTCCATTTAAAAATTTTGATTCACCTTTGGTCAAGCTTTATAAAGTTGCTAATTATAAAATTCAAAACGGTGTTTCCATCCTGGCACATGTATTTCCAGGTTGAACGATTAAATTCACAAAGTAGGCTTGCAGAAATTGTAGTCATTGTTACTGTGATTAATGCCCTTCGTTTTATGATTTTTGTTTTTTACAAAGCCATACCACAAAAAGTCACGGACGGAGACATCGTGACTGCAACATTTCCTGCCCGAGGATCCTACTATATATCCTGCAGGAAGATATCATTTGACCAGCAAATTTCATCACCTGCCTTTCAGAGGCATGTTACATAACGCAGACATTGGGCCTTCCTTGAAGATGGTCCCGGATTATGGTTCTGGGCAGGGCATATACACTACCAGCTACAACTTGCAAAGAGGTGCTGGCAATTTGTTATGAATTCACGACTCTCGTTTAAGAAATAATGGTTTCTTTGTCACAAGGTGTGCGCTAATTGCTGAATACACAACACAATCTTTACAACTGCACGGCAGTGACACAAAATATTTATAAGTGGCTTAATGCCCAAACCTGACATGGGCTTGTCACACAATTTGACCATTTACTAAAGGATGCATCGTGAAAGTAAATGGAGTAATTACTGGCAATGGACTGAAAAACTTTGACTTAATGCCTGGGTGTCTCTTTCCTTCCAACCTAGTGGTAAAAAGAAAATATCCGGCAATGAATTGATGGCTAAAAGAAAATGTACAACACACGAAAGTGAAGTTGATAATGAAATGTTGCTCAAACGATTCTCTCAAACATTGTCTTTTTCAGCGAGTCTTTCAACTTTTCATCTGAAAGTGTTCCAGTAATATGATGTCTACGAAGAGCTTCTTTTGGCAACAGTGATGGACACATCTGCCGATGAATCACTTGCAAATGGGGCACCAAATGTTGTCTGAACTCTTAACTAACCGTGTCTGAAATTTTACATTCTGTTCAAAGTTAAATCCAAAACAAAGAAGCCACCCTGTGAAATGCTAATCTGGAAGGGGCTTAACATTTCTTACCTTAATATTGCAACTTATAGCCTCCAGTCAAAATAAGAGGCAATTCTATAAACAGCACCAAACAAGGATTGGAAACTGGCCCTAGCACACTTTTCAGTGCACCAGTCTTTATCAAAAATACAAACATGAAACATGAACTGCATTGAAGTCCCCTTCTGAAGAACAGGGTCATTCTTGTCAACCAGTCACAAGTTCTTGTCAAGAGTTCCTGTCAAGATTGTAGACGTGGATACTAATGCAGCAAAGATGAGCGTTGATTTCAGTGTATCTAATGCACATGAAGTCCTTCAAACAAGAGTTTTTTTTGGTTGTTGACTAAAGATAGCTCACTGAGCTACAAGCCCTCTCGTATGTACATGTGTGATTCCCTCCTGTACAGTTTTCTCTTGATGAGCTTGTAAGAGGATTTGATGACAGTGGGCCTATCATTAGAGTTTCTCAGGTACGTCTGCAGCTTGCTGAAAAGCCAACGAGGTGTCTCCTTGGTCAGCACCAAAACAATCTCAAAGGTGGTGACGGTGCTGGGGTCTACAACGATTTTGCCCACCCGTTGGCAAATCTCCCCGTCCTCCAAGATGACTGAGAGGCTGCAGCCCCGCACCCCACAGGGCTCGTCCAGCGCCATCCGCATCACGTCATCGGCCACTCTCTGGGGTAGATCATCTGGGACGAGTAGCTTTGTTGGCTGCTGCTTCTCGCGAGCATTACGGAGGCAGTCCAGGATCAGAGATGCCACATACTGGCTCATCTTGACCTCTCTGATGTCATCGATCTCATTTCCGCCATACACATCCATTGTGTGGAAATCTGCACGTTGAAAAAACGGAGAAACCAGCTTCAGTCACACTAGAACATTATCTCAGACAATAAAGATTAAAACAAAGGAGCCTTTCTACTTACCATCCAAACCCAATTGTGCTAAATTGAAATAGTGTAACGTGTGACCCATCTCAAATATTATTCATAAAACGGCTCTTTCTACACTAATGCATATGACCTATCCAGTGACAAAACACAGACTGAAGTGATGCAAGAGTTGTTCCCTATCTGCCTCCATTTACAGTGACTGAACAATAATGTGTAACTGCATAGTGCCACTGAATCACTCGCCACGCATGTGACCTGAATCACATGACTAACTCCCACATTGATAACCTGCGCAACAGATTGGCATGTGCTTTCCATGTGTGTGCATGCAGACAAGTACCATCATACTTGAGCTTTCCATATACATGTACTGTATGGTATATACATGTACATTTATTTATAGTTTACACGTGCAGTGTGTACTGCACATGTACGTACAGTGTGCGAGCCCAAAATCAACAAAATTATGAAAACTGACGGGTTGATAACTCGTGTAGACATGTATTCTTATTTTACAGTGAACTTCCTTGCCTTGTGCTCTATGTACAATATGTTACAGATGATCTGTGCTATTTGACAAGTTCAGTTCTGAAAAAAATTAGAATGCAAGTAATCAAAAAACACTTCAATGGGAAACTTTCTTACAATGGATGATCGCATACAAATTATTTAGCTTTTCAACAGTGAATTTAGACAACCATTGTAAACACATATTTACATGTTACTGCTCTACACAAATGGAGTCCAACAATTCTTCAAAATGAATCCCCCACTGGTAAAATTTGGCATTTTAATTATATAGTTTCATTTTATCTCATTAAAAAAACAACTCCAGATCAGAAATGGAATTTTCTCACAAAAATAAAAAGTCAGTGCATTCCACAAACACATTAATTGCTTCTCCTCTGAGCAACTTGAGTTATAAATAGATAATTTGGCCCAGCAAAATAATACCAACATAATACTCTAGGAATGCAGCGATCAAATCATGTGCATATTAAAGGGGGGGAGGTCGCTCGGCTGAGGCTGTGACCCTCACACATGTGCAAGGGATCCCCCTCACCAATCAGCGGTGCCTAGCAACAGCAGCCATAAATGTCAACCTATCAGGGCAGCTCTTCGGCTGCTCGGCGCTGTCAGCTGGCTTCATTATAATGTACATGTAATGTGTAACATCATGGATTCCCAGGGACAGCGAGGAAGCTCCACGGAGTATAGAGAGGAAACAGGGGCCAGGGATCCGACTTAGGGATCAGTGCACAAATCCTTTGTGGGTCTTTCTAATGGAACCAACCGGAGGTTGGAATTAGTTTGCCTGAGGAACTGCACATATACATGTTCCTTGAGATGTATGCATTAACATGCACATGTATTTTTTTCGTGGAAGTGTGCGGTGACAGATGACATTTCATAGTGCATAATTCAAATTTTCTTTGAAAAGTTATTAAGTTTTCAAGTTTAATGTGCACATTTTTAATAACAATTTCCAAAAACTTGAATTCCTTAACACAGCTTAGACTAGGGACAATGAGCCAGGTTAGTAGGAATCAGTATTAAAACCAAACCCTGATTTTTTAGATTGTAAGTTTTACAAAAATTATCGAATGACAATACATGATGCTATACAATCAAAAGATGGGGCGTATCTGGGGCGTAGGCAAAAGGGCAGATCTAGTTTGACATTAGCAGATGTCCTTTTAATTTAGCTACTGAACTTTTCCATGTACACTGACAAAAAGAACTTTGGCTGCACACATGTAGTTAGTCAAGAGCTTTTCAAGTGCACTAACACATGTAAGTGGGTTCCATTTGGGTCAAAGTTTTTAAGATCAATCATCTTTGCCGGCCTTAACAGGTTGCCCCGAGACTTTGGCCGAATTCCCCAACTCTAGGCAAGTTCAGTAAGTGAGGTTGTGCATGTGTGTGTTCACTGAACGTCTTGCTTAATCTATTAAATACTGTTTGCGGAAAAATTTACAAAACATCAACAAAAGGTGGTTTAATAGGTACTATAAACAAAACTAAGGTGAATTTTCAAGAGCTTTAAGCAGCCAACAAGGCAAAGCTAACAGTTGTGAAATTTCAATTTTTTTCTCAAAGAGATGAAGCATAGCAATGCGTCACTGTTAAGCCTCTGTTAAAAATTCATGATTTTTCAGTCAAAACCCTGAAAACTGCAAGAATCAGCAATTCCCACTCGTCACCCCAAAAAGGAAATGTTTTTCAGAAGTTTGTAAGACATAATCAAATTACGATTTCCACTGTTAACTTAAAGTGTACATTGAAGGAGTCGTTCAGAAATTTTAACTTTAAATGTTAATTATATTTATATCACTCCAAATGAAAACTTCCATAGAAGGCTAGTCACTAAAATATTCCTACCATTATACGTTACATGCACGCATACACTATATGTAGGACAAAATAAGTTCCCCTTATGAGAAAGTCTCAATTGGCAATCGGACAAAACCTAGCGTGCATTGCACAATCAATTTTAGGCCAAATCAGAAATTACAAAAACTTTGGCTTGCTTGTGTAGCTTACAATGCTTTGTCATGTCGGTGCACGTAATTTTCATGTAAAATTCCTGTGTGAAAACTTTCAAGCAAAGTTAAAAAAAATCCGAGACTGCAGAAAACTAGGTATGTTGAGCAAATAACCTAACAGATTTAGAAATCGGAACCACGCATTATGACAAACGCTGCAAACTGATTTCTTTCAAATAACAAAAGGAGGTCGATCAAGGAGGATATCCTACGGAAGTACACGCAATTTACAAAACGGGAGACGCAGCACACACGTAACTGCCGGGGGTGGTGGACGGATGATAGTGGCCTATTTTTATATCGAGGATAGGAAAGCTCTTGGGTTCACCACACAATTCATATTGCAAGCACGATGGCACAGATTGCGAAATGCAGGTACTTATATATTCACAGACAATGCAAACCGGATTGAGTCATCCGTTTTACCCCACGCAATGGGCAATCCTGCGGTAACCCCCGTATTCATCATCTGTGCACACGTGTGTACCGTTGGCACTGGACAGGAAAGCAATCCGAGTAAAAAGCGGTAAAATCTAACCAAAAACTCACCCGAATTACTGTCCACACTCCCTCGGACCGTCTCTATGACGTAGTTGGGCTCGTGCCACTTTTGGTTGTCTCTAGGTTCGATCTTCTCGCCGAATTTGTGGAAGATTTTCTGCAAAATTGTGGCGACTCCTTGCTGGTCACAATTCGCTTTCACATGCAAGGCCATTGCTCCATCCATGCAGTCGAGAAGAAAAGAGCAGACGACGTAATACAGACGAAATGTGGCAAATTTTCACCTTTTTATAGGGGGCAGACAAATAACTTTGAAACAGAATGGAAGACTTGAGTGTGTCCAGCACGCAAGGTCTCCCTCAAATGAATTAATTTTTGGCCAGAACTCACGAAATCAGCCAGACATTGGGCAATGAGTTCTACTGTCCATGCACCCAGCTGATCCGCAACGAATGTGCTGGAAGACCAGGGATATATATACCTGCTAGTACGTCATCCTGTCAATTATCCCTTATTTGGTTATAAGGGCGGAGTTAACCTATATTAGGAATAGAATGTCCCTCACTAGCCAATGAGATTACAGCAATTTCTGTATCTGGGGTACAAAAAAAAGGAACGGAGTTCAACTGTCAATTTGGACCAATAGGGGAGCAGCTGTTGGGTTATCCTTGGAAATGGAAGGCTACGTGTCTAACCGCACGTACATTTCCATAGCGCACTGGAAGAAGATACACGTGTATTGCTAAGGCATTGTATTCACGGAATCGATTTTTAGTCAACAAGCGCAAAGCGTATAGGGGACCCAGTTTTACTGTCTTGGGGGCTTGGCTCGAGATAATATCTTGAGTAAATGTTTTTCATACAAAACAATCCCAAACTGAGGAGCTAGAAATTTGTCACAGAGGACAATAAGGCGCATTTTACCAGTCGATAATCTCACGGACAACATGCTTACACGGACGGAAGCATCCCCTCCAAAGCATGAATGATGAAAAACAGAACGGTTAACTTTTCCCCAGTCATGAAAAGTTCAGTCTTGTAATGTTACGTTTATTTCAGACCTGTGTCCAAACCCCTCTGAAATATTTTAAGCTAGGAATTCAGAAATCTTCTTGAAAGCTATTTTTCCCTTTTCTGTGGAAGAGAAAACAAAAATATCTGTCGTAAAACGAAAAAGAAAAAGAAAAAAGATGTCTAAACTTCAAGACAAACTTAGTTCAGTGACCGAAAACAATCAAAGTGCTTGCTCTACATTTTGCAATAACAATGAATCTTACTTATTCAAAGCTGCCAGTCCATACAGTGCATGCAGCTGCAAGCCGCCTGGAACGTGCGAGTAGACCCCTACGCTTCCAAGAAATGCCCCTGTGACAAGGCGCCGTGCTGGGCTAGCCCTGCATTGCGGGTTCAATACCCGATATACCATGGCTCCGTGGACTCCTGAAAACCTCGTCAGTTTCAGGGAAACTGTGTTGTAATGAACACACGGTGCGTGCAAATAGTCATTATGAAACCTGTAAATCCTATTATGAAATGCATTGGTTTTTATCCTCAATAGATTCATTTAGAAAATCGAGTCTGATATCCTTCCTTATGTAAAGCGATATGGGATAGCCCAGGTTCAACCTCTACACTACTAAATAAGACGAAATTATTCCAAATGGATGACGATTGATTATAATTTTCTAAATTCTATGCCAAGTACGTCTTCAAAATCCGTTTCTCTGATATATTAAGCTTCTTATTTTTCGTAACCCTCACAATCACAAAGCATAATGACTCCTTAAAGTCTACAAGAAACTTTTCACCAAAGTTGGTCATTATTTCTACACTAACTTGAAGAATATTTTGTCTGCGACTTTACATTCCTAACTTCTTTGTTCCGTCTTTGTTTTAGCATTTGGCTTTCTGTGGTCTACACAGTGACGCACTGTGTCCCAACATCCTTACTGCAAACGTAATGAGGTTTCACTGCACTTCGATTCCTGAGAAAAAGGGATGTCCAATTACTTCAGTGGATATGCCTACTACGGAAAAACTCCATTCAAACAGACACAAAGACAAGGGATGAAAGCCTGAAATGCAAATGTATGATACAGGGACGTTTTAAGATCCCTATATACATGTATATCTTTGGACTGTACACAGTAACCATATACTTCATCCGAGAATTTAGATAGTAGTTAATTAAAGGGAGGTTTTAATTCTCATTGGTAATTCAAACGCGCATGTAAACATTCGAACTTTTTATTCAAATCTCTAAAACTATTTTAGGGTTGGCTGTTGATGGGACCGGTTCAAACTCTTTTCGTGACCAAAGTTAAGTCGGGCAATGTATAGAAACGCTGTCTTGGCGACTGCTGTTGGGTCATTGGCAGAAGGGGCGAAAGTTCAGCCTTACAGCAGTTCCAGTGCAGAACGATACTCCCCAAAATTCCAATAATTTTCATTTGCACCTTTTCATCAAATTCAAACAAAGTAAAAGAGCATTGTGTTTCATACTTCAATGATGCATTGTGTGGAAGATTACAATTATTTCCTACCGAAGTCATGATAATAATCACAAAGTAATACTTGAGACAATAACAGGTCAGTGGGCCAGAGTTACAAGAAGATATGGCTTCGGAGTTCACTTCCTATTCGAGTAACACTAACGGACATAAGAGCAAACAGTTGCTTGATACTGCTTCTTTGCCCCGCAGTACTTGCCCACAATTATCTACTGCCTGGACGAGTTCTTCACCAAGCCTTGTTCAAGTCGAAAGCTACCTTAATTAAACAGTGATGTCCAATCAAAAGTTAGTAAAATGCATTTTAACGATGGGCCATGTTAATTACGCCGATCATTGGAGGAGACTTTAAAAGGTTTCAGGTATTTCGAAATGTTCGCCCTAAACACGATGCGCCGATCGATCTCTGAGAACTGAGAAGAGAACAAGCCCTTCAAAACTCCGAATTCCAGAACTTTCTGTGAACATTAAGGAAGCTCGCAAGAACATTACAAAATGTAGGTTACAAATTTATGCACAACTGGCTACTGGGATATCGTTTCACCCCAAGGAACGCGGCAAACGTCAGGTAGTTTGCAGTGACGTCACTGGACATTGGCTCCAAGAATAAACGAGCAAAGTTCGTCGCACGTTGGTGAATGGAAAGGTGTTGAAGGCGTGCAATAAATACCTGTTTACTGCAACAACCTTTCCTGCTTACTGCTCGTTTTCTACGAAGTTAACCAACGACTGAAATTAAGAGGTTCTGTCAACACTCGGCTCGTGGCACTAGGATGTAAAGTTTAGTAAAGGCTAACACAGCAGCGGAATTCGAGTTGCAAATACACGAATGAGTGTGGAATGGACAAAAATCGTTAAAGACTGCACGAGGACATGACGTGAAGCGTTATACATGAATACACCACACTGTAAAATGTCTTAACACTCAGTCAACTTTCTAGAGGGAAAAGCTGGGTTTTCAGGATGATGGTTTCATTATTACCAAAAGTACCTCTGTCGCACTTCTTATGTTCCATCAATCAGTCGTTCACTTTTATCCAAAACAGTGAAAACTTGTTGACATTTATTCTAATTGACATACTATGAACAGTGACATTTTTGTTACCTAAAGTTCTCAAAGGGTAGAATTTTGCGCCAATTTCTGAGCCAATCTAGAATACAGAGTGCATACGTGCGTAAGTTACCGGATGGCGGAGGTAGTGTTTCCCGAATTTTTCCTCAATGTTAATTTAAAATAACAATTTGCAATGAATAAACTTGTCTATAATCGTCAGCTCATCTTTGTTGGGTTAATAATCCAGACAAGTTACAATAGCATATACACTAAAATACAGGCCAGCTTAATAATATCCAAAAGAAAGCTTTTCTTGTTGCGATCGAGGCCTGACTTGACCTTATGACTATCTTCCCTTTTGTTCAAAACTTAAAGTTCAGACTAATGTGGTCAAGGACCCGAGGTCAGTGGACATAATTTATCAAGATAACGACCCCACGGGGAGAGGAATGATTACGGATATGAAACCACACGGTGGAATCCCGGTCTCGTGCAGCCCAACAACCAGGGCTCGCCACAAACCAGATTATGGAAGAATGCGAAATATACCATTTCACAAGAAAATCTGGACCATAATTTTCAAGATCATTTTCAATCCCGATCGATTCTGATGCATGTAGCTGAATGTAATCCAAAATTTGGGGAGGAATTGATGTTGCACTGGAAAACAAATTTCATTTTGATATTGAACACTTAAATGTTTGAAAAGTTATCAAGGTTGAACCAAAATCCAAAGTTGATAGATAATAAAATTCAATATTTCTTTATTTTCCCGTTGGTCAGTTTTGACCCCGTGTCACCTCTCTTGGTCTCTCTTGTTTTTACAAGATAAGGCGACTGGACGATTATACCACAACTAGTTGGCGTTACCGTGAATTTATTTGCCGATTGGGCAAACATTCACCTGCATTGATTTTGACCCTGTTGTGACCGAAAACAGATCACAGAAATCTGATAAATTGCGGAGACCATAAGGTTGTAGCTATAGGAAGGGGTTTTCCGAGGAACCAATTTTGGTGGAATATCGGCCGCTGGAGGTCAGTATTTACGGAAAGGTTATATTGTTTAAATGAGGCAAACTCTGTTTAAAATACAATACTGTATTTCAAATGTTACCACAAATTATTAAACAAATTTTTGATGTCGAAATGATGTTGTAATTGCACAATCTAAACCGAAATCTGGTGAAGCAAATTAAATGGCAATAACACATGGATTATCAAAAACACAATTGCGACATCTTCGCTTGATGTTGGTACATGTATGTGGTTTAAATATAATCTTGGGTGCGCAAAGACGAAACCTGCTCGAGCTGAGGGGCTCCTTGAGTAAAGTGAAGGCGAGGGCAGGCATTGTTAAAAAAATCCATATCAGCAAAGATTAGAACATGCTTTTCAAAGTCAAGATTTTGGAAGAGAGTACGGTGGGTTCTGTTTTCTTCAAAGAAACGGCATTGCAAAGTGTTTCTTGGCGCGCAAGTCCGCCATCCCGGCCTCTGTACATGTCATGAGGCGACTGTAAAACCATCTGACGACTGTTGCATCCTTGAAGAGATTACTGTGTAAATTTAACTCTCTAAAATTACTCCCCATGCCCTTATTCCACTATACTAGGAAGCAGCCGTCGGTTATTGATCAAAGTTGTCTGAAGTTCCTTGCACGTCTCGCCGGCACAGCCAAGGATTAACGACCGTTGAGCTGTCTGAACAAAGTACATCATTGTCCGCTATGTTTGCTTTAAAGTTCACGCCCACACATACACAAAACAAATCTGAATACAACAGCATCTTACTCGACCACAATGTCCCTGTCGTTTTTCTTCTACCAATGAGCTACTTGTCAAGACCTAACATAATTATTTGAAAAAAAGTTACAACTTCAAAATGTTTTTTTTTCAAATACATGTACATGTAGCAGTACTTCAAAATTCGTACACACGTCAATTCAAACAAAATGCTTGTGTATGTATAGCCGCTTAAACAGAGAAACATCTTTCTTGAAACTAATATGACAAACATGGAAACAATTTCTGAAAACTGCAAAAAAAAAATTTTGCTTTTGTTTGTCTTTTTTGGAGTAAATCTACAAAGAGGTGTTAATACAACATCTACAGATGCCACTCTGTTAAAAGGTAATATGCTGATTTGAAAGCGATCGCTTGACAGTTGACAGAAATGACATGATCGCGATCAGCCAATCAGCTTCCGCCAAGTCTGCAAATTCATGAATGATGGACAAAATACCAGACATTACGAGTACATCTATCCCACTCAGCTTGAGCCCCTAGACTTTGCACCACGATTTCACCGTCAACCAGGCAACTTGACGAATAATGAACCGCGCGGCGGGGGAATTGGGCGGTCGTACGTGTGGAACAAGGTGTCATAAAATGCTGGAAAAGAAAATGGCAAATAAACGATTCGCGCCTGGGCAACACTGTTCAGCGCTTGGCAAATATACCGTGAAGCATGACAAGAGAACAATCGGCAAATTCTCCGAGGGAACATTGGCCGCTGACTACGGGCAAAATGGAAACCAGTTGCACCTCACGCATGACTGAAACCCTGGCTATTTTTTCACGGAGCAACAATGGTTGTTTTGGCGTTTCTCCGTGGATTTCGAAAGTTCCCGAAAACATGGTGGGTGCAATTTACACAGTGAGGTTTTGTCTAGGTTACTCACAAGTACGATCATGTATGTGACCTATATTTTATCAAAGCCACATATCTGCCAGGCGACAAACTTTTAGGAAAAAGATAAAGGGACAGTCTGATCGAACCACACTAGACCTGTCTGAGTCACATAGAGTAAACCGACCCCTCCCATCTAAAGTGAGTAGATTGGTCCGTCAGGCAGTTTATAAAGGGTAGATTTCGGCGGCACTCCCCCCTAAAAAATCAGTTTAGTGCCCCCTAAAGAAACTGATTTCTAATGGTGTAGTCGATAAACGGCTTCTCTCGATGCACTTTTGAGTGCCAAAGACCCTTCAAATATCCCTCCAAATTGACACATCACCAAACAGTTTGCCCGAGAATTCTACCTTGAAGACATGACTACTGCAAAAACTTCAATTCGTGTCTGGTCAGTCAAGTTTATGGGTCTTATAGAAACTTTCTGATCGCATCCCGTACGCACCATCAACCTCAAGTTTGACTAAAACTCGATCATGTGGTAAATAACAGCTAAGCGCAGAGCTATATTACGCACAAAACACAGCAGCGACCTGAATATTGGATGTGAAATTATCAATAAAGTTACCCTTAATCCTTCCCTGAAAAGGGGTAAGAAAAAAAGTTGAGGAAAAGAAAACTTTCTGTTAACCTGTTGGATTAGCGCAAGGTCCTATCTGACACGCACAAACTGCAAAAAACAGTGGTGTTAAAATCAACACTTTCTGGTGTTATCAGATAAAAACACCGTATGGTGTTACTTTAACATAGCTGGTGTTACTTTCCACACCTATAAGTGTTACAATAAATGGAGGGTGTTAAAGTAACACCAAATAACACCAAAATTTTTAACACTGGTGGAAAGCGTTGGTGTAGTCCTCTTAAAACACCGGGGGTGTACAGTTTAACACCCAAGTTTTTGCAGTGCATCTTTGTCTGCAACGGTGTGGCTGATCACCGAGGTGCGCTGAAAGCCCATCCATTGAATGGAGCAATGACTGGTTGAGTTAGAGGAAAAGGGCGCCCTCATGTTGGAGAAATCAAGCATGGCAAAAGTTGGGCGGAGTCACACAAACAAAATGGCGAAGAAGTGGGGGAGGGTCAGGTGAAACTAAACAATCACTTGGACGGTTTCCGTATAAATTGAACGAGATTGTGCGAAGTTTTCCTGAACTTCCTCCAAAAGACGCCCCAAAAGTTGAAGATATAGGAATGTGTAATCCATTCTTGTTTATATTTTGACCTATTTTTGCAAGGAAAGCTTCAAGTTGCTGTACGCTTTACTATTACCAGTACTTAAAATGTATATACATAACCTTTTCTTTCTCACGTGAATCCTGCTGTGGTTGGGTTTGCCATGTTGTCCTTGAACTCACTACATGATGTGTTTGCGGTCACATCCGATTGCATAGTCAGAGTAACTTGAGAAATGAATGGATTTAGCCTTGAAAAACTGCACTACAGCCGCCGATATCGAACGCCGAGTCCACGCCGTGCGTGAACAATGAAGAACAGGCCGTGACCTGGCCAACTTTTACGGCTGAGTGACCAGCAAGACCACCCCAGCGCCTCAAGTGTTTGCGGTCACTACACTAGGCAAACTGTTTCAGAAAAAATGGAGAGCAAGAGACAATAGGCCCCGAAACCTTGATCCAATCTGGAAAAACGACGGTGTTTTTGTTGTCTGAATGGTTTCATGTTAAAAGTCTAGTACAAAAGGGCATCTTGCCTCAAGTCAAGGGTCGGTGTATAGTGACAAGGATGAACTTTCTTCCCAGAATCCCACAAGTATTAATTGATATTACAGCCATTAATGTCTACATTGACTGGTTTCATAAATCATCCTTAGAGAGCAATCGGAATTTGGTACATTTCGGCTGGCAGCAGTTGTATGTTAGACTTAAAAATGCAAGAAAATGGATTTTTTTCTCCAATCCTTTGGTGCACGTACGTAGTAATCAGACTTATAATACTAGCTCACCAAAACACCCCACACTGTTGTTACAGCTACCGATTGTCATCTCCAAAGTGACCACAACCCCACCCCTGGGGCACCACCAATAAAAACAACAGGTGCAACTACTATTTGCACTGAACACAGCCCATAGAAATATTGCTGGTGATTGCAACTTTTATAGGGTCTTACAATACACCCCCCAAAAGGGGTGGGGCAATGCTTCGGGGGGGGGCTCAGTGATGGACGAATTGCCACTTCAAACCTTATTCTTCTTTTAAATTATTGACTAGTCAAGTGGTTGAAAACTTGGACACCACACAAATAAATAAAACACGGCCAACAGTCTTCTTTTGATCTTAGAGATGCATATCATCTCAGTTTTAATTAAAGAACAAGTTTTCACATGTCCCATAACAAAGAAATAAGAAGCGGTTTCACTCTGTACAGCTGAAGAACTTTTAGTGGTGAAGTTCTACATATAAAAAAACACAAATCTCCAGAGTTGGCTACGAAGTCGAAGACTGTCATATTCTACACAATGCACACGCCACAGGCATGATCACATAACCCCATTACTGTGTAACAATTAGAGATATTTCAGTGGGAGAAAAAGTTAACGAGATAACAACAGAGTTGTTCTACTTTTGGTGGGACGAGTTTCTTCCCTACATTGTCGGTATCTTGAAAAGTAAAAAGCCACACAGCTGAAATAAGTCTCTTTTTGATGTACAGAAGACAGGATTTTAACCAAATTTGACGCTTCACTGCCATTCACTCCAGGAACTGTAGTCTAGAATCTTGCACATACCGTTTAGAATTATTCTCACACAAATCTGCACACACTGTGAAAAAAAAATAGCTAAACACAAACAATGGTAAAGACTAGTCAAACAAGACCTCGTTTTTTAAACAGAAAAATTGCATGGAAAACCAAATGTACATACATATACACTAGTATACAAATAGGTTGGTAATTTCATCCATCAGAATTCACAATTTTGATATTATTTCAAACTGACTTTCTATTTGGGAACTCACAAAAATATACATTTCGTCTGCTACGGTAATTCTTTTGAAGTCTAAATTAGGTACGACATTTTACACTGATTTCCATACCTGCAGAGAAATGTTCTTTTCCATAAAACCCATCCTCAGTACAAGAAGCTAGCGACTGGCTTTTCATCTGGAGAAAACCGGCAGATAGTTGGTTTAAGAAAATTCATTCTTGGATGAAAATTAAGATCGGATAAGGATGAACAAAATACAACATAAAAACTGTGTCCGATGATGCAACAAACGTGTACAGCTCCAAACTGCTTGAAAACTTCATCTTATACACTTGAAAACCAATTATAATTTGCCTATAAAAATGCAGCAAGACAAACACATCATAAAATTTCTCGACATGATTTGCTAAAACTGAACACTCATTTTTTTTACATGAGAATCAAGACTCTAATTCATTGGGGGTAATTTCTTGGTTTTGTATATATACATATTTCTTCTCAAAAACCTGCCAATTATAGTGGTTTTGAGTTATTCTGTCTTTAAAAATTTTACATATGTACAACAGAGTAACTAGGGTAATTTTACAATTAATGTAAATTTCTTTAATTTACATAAAAAGTAACCAGACGTTACTTTATCCATACTAAAATCGATTAAATCTCACTCTAAAAGAATCGACTCACTGATTTCACGAGTAAAATTTGAGATTAGTCAGAGAGGATTTTGTGAATTATAAGACTTCATCAGAAACTTGATTTTTTTCCCCTTAAAAATCTACAATCCATACTTTTAAAATGTATACAAGACTTTGTACTTTACCATGTAAAATGCTTCGCTGGAATTCCAGTCAGTTGCGTATGGGGAAGTTGACTGGAAATGTTCATAAGTAATTATTTAATGGAAACAAGACAAAACAATTCTTTAGTCTAAAACAAAACTTTCCAAATAACTTAAAAAAAAAAAGAAAGCACAAATATTTGAACTATATTTCTACTCACACACTTTACACTCTATAACTTAGTCGTAATTGCTCCTACGCTCATTACCATTTTGTACATCTTTTCAATTGTTTCTGAGGAAACAAACCAAATCCAGTAAATGTTTTTTTTAATTGATAACTCACACGATCATTTCAGTCGTATTTCCCACAAAGAATCACAAGGAAGAGAAAAATATACATTCCCTTGCCTCTAACAAATCTTACATTAGCATATCGTTCTTGGTCCAATGAGATGGTTCCTTTTGTATCACATGAAGTATGACTGGTTGCTCATTGGTCAACTGGAAATATACATATTCATAACCTGCATAACATTATGCACAAAAACTATAGTAATAGACACTAGGCTTAGAGAAGATACATCCCAGCATGCACTTCACCACCAAATCATAAATGATGTTTAAAAATGTAAATGAGAGTACAATTAGGTATTTGGGGAACTCGAACACTCTATATGAACCACAACAGAGTTCTTTCTACATGGCAAACCTTGAGAATTTGAACAATGCTCCAGTGGACATCTTACTGTTCTAACTGGGAACTGATCTCAACTGGGACAGATTTGAAACACTGTGCATTCCCAAGTGCAAACATGGGAATGCTATTCAAACTTCGGTACAATCCAAACTGCCATGCCATGCTGCTTTCTCCCACTAGGCACACAGGAACCAGAAATCTTCTGAAGTTCCCTGAAGAGCCTATCCCCCTCCTCTGCTAAAGATTTACCAAAGCAGGTGCACATCCCTGGCAATGCACCAAGTCATCCTTGTACATTCCAGCAGATGAAATTTAAAGATGTCACATTTTGACTGACATTTAGCACATTCATGCACACCTAGCTTACATATTCTAGCTAGACATCACTCACTGCACTACTGTTTGAGGGTGACGTCATGGAGAATCGTTCACAGACCCTTTTCAATGCAAGTAATACATGGGGCTAACATTGTCACTGAGCCAAGCAAGGATGACCTGAGAACCAGTGATGAGCCATGACACGACGAGTATGACATTCTAACCGGTAACGCAATTTTACTTGGCATACCGTTTTCTCATATTGGCCGATTTCTGTGTATGAAAGCTCCATGTGAAAAATCAACCATGGAAACAAATGGCAAAAGGACCACAGCAAGTGACCATTCCCTTGCATCTCTTCAAGTTTGCCCATACCAGGTCACCACATCTGTCTTCCTGCCTGGTAACTGCTACATTTCAGAATCAGTAAATCTTTCTCCTTATTTAAATTCATACAAACTTCAATTTACAGTTGACCTAATGTCTGAACAGTTGCCACTACTGGGACCCTCAGACAATGCAGCAAAAGTGAGAATTTCATTTCTACATACTTTTTGAACAATACTGAATGGGCACGATAGGTTCCAAAATTGGGCAGTGGAACCAGTTTCTGTGAATATATTTAAAACTTTCATATTTTAAAAATTACGAGCTCTGAGCACCAATATAAAAGTACTTTGTTACCATGAGGTATTGATGCGTAAGAAAAAATGGTAAGTTGAATAGGTCTGCTTAAAAATATCTCTACCTTCAGTGCAGAAACTACAGATAATCTGTGATAAAATACTAGTTATTGTTTTCCTGATGTTGAATGATTTGCAAAGGGCATACGATTGAGGGAAATATACACTTTGAAGATGATAACCAGGATCAAACGAACAAACGTAAGAGTTGACAATTTGGGTCACTTTTGCCTTCGCTAGTAACTCAAATTGATTTTGGATCCTTTTGGTAAGTCACATTCAAAAAGAACTTCACAGCAATCTGCAGCCATTCCAGTTTTTGACCATAACAGACCCTGCAGAAATGGGGCAAATACCATCTCTGGGAAAAAGCACATTCTCATTTCAAGACTCAGGCATGAATGTGCATTTACTGGAATGATCAGAACAGACATGCTACACATGACCAGAATTAACTAATACCAGCACTCCATGCAATGCCGACAGCCACTGGTGAGCACATGGGAAGACATTCCAACGCAAAATGTACGAAATAAAAGAAAACAAAAAGCAAAATAATACAAAGCGCACTAAGTCCAGCCAGAGAAGACAAAACAAAACAACTCACTAAACTTTCAACAAAAGCAACGGCACGCAGGAAAAGAAGTCGCAGCCAGATTCCACTTGACAAAAATAAAGAAGAGAGAAATGTGCATCCACGTAGTAACACAACTGTTTCATGGTGCCTTTATCACATTGCACAAGTTACGTTAAGTAGTCAGACTAAGCTTCGGTGTACAAAAGCCAGCCTGCAGGGCAAGTAGCATTATAAAATACTGGCTAGTCAAGTATTTTTGGACGAGTGCAAGTACGAGCTCTGTCAGGAAGGGGTTCAGTGTGAAGGTAAGTACTAACACTCATGAGTTTGCACTCTTTGGTGAGCAACGTCAAGTAAACAAGGTGAAACTCGATACAAAGACTTCTGTTTTGAAAAAACGAAGTGCCGGTTGATTACAGTAGTTGAGTAGTGCTTTCACTGGTGGTCTAGGATGAGTAATGTAGTGAGAAAAGGCTACCCACTGACAGTCAAGTGTACAATGAGGACTACGAGAAGACAGATGGGACTGGAGAGCGAGCACGAGTTCTACAACACTGCAGTCAAACCTGTGGGGGTCGGGCGCCCGTGGCCTGCGGCCAAACAGGGCGGCCGGCCACCTTGTCCGGGTTGCGCGCGAGCGCGAGGGCGCTGGTTGGTGGCGTCATGAGGCTGGCCACGCCGGGCAGGTGCTCTGTGCTGGGGGCGGGCCAGAAAGCTAGGTTTGACTGGAGCTGAGAGGAGAGCGAGAAAAGAAGTGGGGAAAAAGAAAAAAAAAAGAACACACAGGGTGTTGTGTTCAGAGCATGAAGCTGGCAGAGTCAAAGGTGATGAATGGATTGGGAGGAGTAATTTCATTCAATTCAAGCCAGGGGTGGCAGCTTACTTTCATTACTCTTGGCTCTATGCAGCAGTCTTAAAAAAAACAAGAACTTTGTATCACTGGCGACAAAGGTGCTCTTCGATTCAAATGTCAGCATAGAGAGAGAAAGGGTAATGGGGAATCACTTTTTCAATTTGATCTAATTTCATCTTTGTCATTTCAGTGCATTTTGTGAAGGAAAGAATCCCTGACCTTGAGGACTGGACTGTGGATAAGCTCGTACAGTCAGTCAGCATGCATAGCAGAGGCATTGCTGGTTAAATGCATAAGGACTGGTGACAAATTTCATGTTCTTTTTTTTGCTATAAGATTCTAAAAACACCTGTACAAAATAAACTCAACCCTCCAAGTTCCTTCAAAATCCACCAAGAGATTTTGGAGGCTTTTGTAGGATTGAGCAAAGTAAAGCCTGGCTGGCTGCTGCTTTCCATGAGGGCTCAATGCCCTTTAGACTTTAGACGATTCAAGTAAGTTCCTGGCACAAAAGTCAAGGTAGTTAGTGCTCATGAAACTCTCTTGTGTTAAAGTCAACGACATGTATGCATCAATACAAATTATAGTACAAGTCTAGTTCCCCATGGACCGTGTACGCTATGATCATGTATGGTTGGGGGGATAGTATTCTTGTGCTATCCCATGCTGCACTGCAATGATTGTGACTGTCAGCTTACAGACTCACCTGCAAAACCCAAAGCCAGTTCTGTGGAGCTTAGTCAAAGTTCATGCTCACCCAAAAGCAACAGCTACAGAAATTACTTAACAAATGGCATTTCGTCTGATTACTTGTGTTTACTGAGCAAAACTTTTCCTGCACTAAGGAGGCTTTTGTGGTGCAGTTCTATGACCCCCCCAAAAAAACAAAGTGTAACTAAAAATTCTCAACACAAGTCTAGTTCCCAATCATGCGAATATGCTTAAGACGTGTTCCAGCATGGTAACTTGAGACAGACAAAGTCCATCCTATAGGGCAACACAACAATGAACATAAACTCTAGTGGTCAGCACTGGGAATGAAGTTTGGTGGCTAGGAGCTTGACCACAGAATGGCATGGTTTTACACCCATTTCTGGTACGGCCCTGTTACTGTTGGGAAAGCTGTGGAGGCCAGAGTCGTGACTGTGTTGGTAACAGGTGTCTGGGCATGCTTGGTTGGTACCTTCTTGGATGCAGAGCTGCATTTTACCTTGGTTTTGTCGGGGATGACTGTGTCATCACTGGCTGAGAGGCGTCGCTTGCGACCTTTGCGTGGGGGAGGCGTTTCTCCATTCAGCCGGGCTGTCTCTTCAGCTTCATCCTGCCTGGCCTGCATCTTACGCTCGTATTCCTCTAAGCCGTGGTGACGGAAGTTCATGTGCTTGTGCTGGTAGAAAACCAAGCTGATGCGCGTGGGCTTCTGCCTGTGCGGGTTCCGGATGGATGTGGTGGCGTGGAGCTCGCGCTTGGCAGCCTCAAACAGGATGGAGCCGTGGGAGAGCGCAATGGCCACGCCTCCGATGGTTGGGTCCCGGAAGCACTCCTCGCTGTCCGAGATGCACTCAATCTCCTGGGGCTCCTCTGGCTTCGGAGAGGGCTGGGGAGGGAGCGCAGAGGGGGTGGGGTTGCTGGGACTTGGCCCGGCTGCCTCCATGAGTCGCAGATGCTCGGCAATCGTTTTTGACTTATCGTGCTGTTGCTGGTGGGAGGATGTCGAAGGAGTTGAGACTTCATGGAGCCTTGGGTATGGTTTGCTGTCTTGTGATGGGTAGCTTTGAGAAAGATCACGTCGGGCTGTACTGTGCTCCTGGTGTGCTTGTTGTTGTGGGTAGGTGCTATACTGCCGACTGTCAGAGGAATTCCTACTCTGTGAAGCAGATGAGGGCTCTCGATGACCAAAGCTTGGATAGTCTCTGTGCTGGTGGCTACCCTCCTGTGGGTAAGCACTCCTTTGATCCCCTTGGCTCTTACTCCGATCATGGAATGCTGATCCGTAAGGGGGAGTGCCCTGGTTCGGGTAACTGTGATGCTCTTGGGATGGGGTGCTCTCACGGGAGGGGCTGTTCTGAAAGACTGGCGGCCGCCAAATCCCATCCTTGTGGCCAGCTTGGCTGGCAGGTGGATGGTGACTCAGATCTTGCCTCAGCCCATTAGGGGGTGGGTTTTGAGTGTACTTGGACTCTGCAGATGAAGAGGTGCTCGGTCTGGGAGTGTGGTGGTCTCTGCTCAAGTCCATTTGGTCCACCCGGGAGTTGCCATACCCGGATGCAGCAGCTGCCCCTGGATGCTGTGCTCCGTACTTCATGCTGAAGGTGTTGTACAGTGCATCACGCTCACTCCTGCTCGACGCCTTCATCAGGTTACTCAGCTGGTTCATGTCGGGTTTGACATCTTCCATGGAGAGTCCGGTAAAATGAGGGTAGCGCATGTAGGGGTGGGCGAGTATGTAGGGGTCATTGCCGTACTGACTCATGAAGCGAGCCAGGGCCTGATTCTGTTGTAGGTGTTCGTGGGCTGCCAGCCCCACCATACCTGGATGGGCGTAAGGTGGGAGAAACATACGGGGTTGATGTGGGTACAGGCGGGCCCATTCCGGGTGCAAGCTTGCTGCGGCAGCGGCTGCCGCGTTCATCTGCATGGCTTCCCGCTGCATGCTCTCATACATCATTGGGTGTAAGGCATGCAATTCCGGCCTCAGCGCAGCCGCTGCAGCCAAGCTACTGGGGGTCAGCTCAACGCCGGGCCATGCTGCCCGGACTTGCTCCACGCTTTGTTGGTACTGAGGCCACAGGTGAGGGGGGATCTGCATGACTTGGGCCTGGGACTGTGAGGGCAACGAGGTGGTCCCAGACGTGGACTGCTCCTTGCTGCTCTTTGCCAAGGAGGCTTTGGCATCAGCATCTCTGTGACTCGAATTGCTGCTGGCGTGGCTGCTCTGATGATGGCTGTTGCCTTGCGGTGTTGCTGCTCTAGCCGCGGCAGCTGCCGCAGCTGCTGCTGCAGCTTTGCCACGGCTAGGGCTGTTCTTGTCCCCATGCCTGCTTGTACGGACTTGTGCACCCTTGGGGATGACCGGGTCCTGTTTGGGTCGGAGCCTGGACTTGTGCCGGTAGTGGGTCAAGACCTCGATGGAGCCACGTCGCACTTTCTCCTGTTGGCCCTCCATGCTGCCCATCTCGTCAGTGTTGTCTAAGTAGTACAGAGGCAAGACGTGCAGCTGCTCGTCGCCTGGGTCCGGCACACGGTCCCGAATCTCATCTTTTGTCAATGTCACCACCTGTTGTAGAAAGACACAATCAGTTTTGAGGTGCCAGAGAAGATACGACTATGATCGTGTGATTACGATCATTACAATTCTCAACCATGAGTTCCAGAAGGGCTGACCCTACGTCTGTCAAACAGTAACGCTTAGTTCACCAATTCCTGTCACTCAAATGATCAAACCAACCCCAACTCTATGAACTGGAGGAGGCCCAAAATGCTTTCAAGGTTTGTCCTAAAAAGGTTGTATCCCTACTTTCCTCATAAAATCATAAATGGCTTGAAAAATCCCAAGCAAGAACAAAAAAAAATTGAACACAGAGGTGAACAGAAGTCATGATTGTACTTTTAAAGATTCCGTTCAAGTAAATGAAAAGGCCGTTCAACAACTCTTGGCAACTTTGATAATGACAGATCACGGTGGGCACAGACTCGATGAAACTTACCACTGTGCAACCATTGTTCATATTCTGTTGGTCCCTGTGGGCATGAGCGCAGAAGTCCATGCAAGCCGTGACGCCAGAGAACGGCCTACCCTCACCCCATCCAAGCCTGCACTCGGACCCCATCTTCTCAAACAAAACCTGATAATAAAAGAAAAATGAAGAATGATGTCCTGCACTTTGTCTTTTTGACTCTGAGAGAATGCTTCCAACTTGAGAGAACATTCAAAAACTTGAATACTGGGATAAATACATATAGGCTGTCAGTTTTAACTTCACTGATTGAGCGTATGAGGCATATGATAGGGAGGCCTCCAAACTAAAGTTGTACGTAATACCGACTGAGCTTTATCTTACTGTATCTCACAAAATTCTTCACACACCCGGTAGTTTCTGAAAGAACAACGTAAAGAGCTAACCAATCTGGCAATTTAATTGAAGAAAGCCTGCCTGCCTGCACAAACCTGATTTCGGAAGGAATCTGGGGCCAGCTGTCGGTAGAGTGGAGAGATTTCTGTGGCCAGCCACTGCAGCTTGTTCTCCAACATCTCCTCCTGACGATAGAAAAGGAAAAACGCTGAAGTACAGACTTGTCCATACATCAACCAATGCATCAACTAAACAAACCACTCTCACCTGAACGGCATTAGCTTTCCACAGAAAATACAGTGGCTACTTTAGTCTATAACAAGTATGCATGTCTTCAAGATGTATTTTTGCGTTGGGGAGAAGTTAATTTATATAACGGGTTTTGCCCTTACCCAACGTATATATTAATAAACACTGTATGCTCGGTGCTTGTCCGAGAGCTTGCGAAAAAAGTCACAAGCTTACTCGGGTGGGACTCGAACCCACGACCTCCTGCTTACTAGTGCAGACGTCTTAACCACTCGACCACTGAGCTTACCGGGGTCGGCTGGCCGGTCCGAGTCAGGTGAAGCAGTGGGGAGGCGAACTTTTTTTTTTTTTGCATGTATTACGCTCTAATTTTAGCATGCAGGCACACGGTGCATTTCCCAAGCTACATGTAGTAGTTAGTTAGTAGCAACTTTTGGTTCGCTGTCTGGTCTGTGACGTGCATGCTGAAGAGAAGGGATACCTTTTCAGCATCGGCATTATCCTGCAGCTTAAACTTCTTTGGTGTCTTGCTGCGAGCAAACTTGCAGCTATTGTAGTACATTGACCAGGAGCAACCAAACGAGAACGAGGCGCCACAAGATTCAGGATCAAAGCCCTGGCAGGCACAGGTCTTTCTGCAAATGAAAAAACGGGAACTTCTGACACCACTGCCTACGAAACCCTAAGAGTTTAGGCCTTTTTTGCAATTACGAAGATGTCCATATTTCAGTTGACTGTTCAGGCATGTGGACCCCATCTAAACTGCACACCACACTGTAAGACTGTACACATTCTGTTGAAAATTGGCCCTGTGTTCTGGACCTCATACACACAGGCCTGCTTATGTATTGTCATACAGCACCATCTACAGTTCCTCTACCATGTCCACAATGCAAAGTGGAGATCGAAGAGTTTTGTGCACAATCAGTTGAAAACTTGTCATGTCATCTACAATTTTTTGTGGATGCCAAAGGCTTTTTAAAGTTGAAGTTCACTTCAAACAGGAAAGTCCCATCAGGTGATGATGCCGGACACTTACTCTTCATTGACTGCACAGCGGCGCACAGTTGGGATGGCTCCAGAAGGAAGCGTCTGGGTCAATATGTCGTACAGGTTGTCTGCTTCCTTGCGAGGGCAGCCCTCCCAGGCAACAGTGGCTATGATGATGTAGGCCGTCTCGCAGTGGTGGCCAGGTCGATTTCGCACCAGCACCAAGATCTTCTCTTCTGGTCCTGAACGTCTCAAGATCTAACACGATAAACGCAAACAAAGTTTTGAGCTAACTCGTGGCCAGTCTTAATGTGTTTACTGGTAGCTGGTTGTATATGACATCACAACATCACACCAATCGATGACGTTAGTCAACAAGCCCACCACGAAGTCCCTTTGTAACAAGCCATCCATTCCTAAGCCAAGTTACAAGCTATTCACACGAACTTTGACCAAAGCCAATCCGTTCGTCATTGTTCATCCGGCATCTTGTGACAAGTCTTGTGATGGACATGACTACAGCCCCAAACCTTTTGTCACTTGCAAAGCCCATCCATCTGCACTCACCCACTTTGCGATGGGACAGCCCAAGGAGCTCTTGCCCTCCTTCCCGGAGAAAACCAATTTCTCGATCCGAATGCAGTTACCTTTGTGGCCGAACCTGGGAGTTTAGGAAATCCAAACAGTGTGGTCACCACATTAAAAGACTTAATCAGTTATTAGCTTACATTGGTAAGTTGTGTTTGTTTCATAGAGCTAAAATTTCGCACATTTGTAATATCAAGATTCCGTATGGGATATCGCAAGTCTCAAATCTAATTACATGTATCTACTGATAGTCCACCATATTTGTGCTGCATACAAAAAGGGTGACAAAAGGAACGTCTGGTACCAAGTCTCTGTTAAACACAACTGAATAACAATCATGCCAACAGACTACTGAATGGGTCTCTTCTCAAGGAGTTGGGTACATGACAAAGCATCGTGATGGTTCACAATGAAAATTTGGTGACACATTTGAACAAAAGAATTACGGTCCTTAGGACGGTTGCGCACCTTTTCTCCATCATTTCTCTGATTGCTGCGACAGACCGACCTGCTCCAAGATGTGTGTAGTACGGTGCCTCATCACGATCATTCTCTGTATCAGATATGAACAAAAAAAATTGTCTGAATTTATATGAGCTTTGAAATAAGAATAAAGCAGAGATCAAAAGCCTTGAATAATGACAGATTAATATTAATTTCTAGGTTGGAAAGCTTGGGTTTCTAATCTAATGTAAAATTGAAAACATAAAATATTTCCCCACAGCATGATTTGATGGCTCTGTGGTAGAACATAGAGATGTGATGTAAGGAAACATCCCAACTCTGGGATAAACAGAGATTGGCAAAACCCTAAGGGCTGGCTTGAACACTGATTTGAATCCACTAAACAAGGCATCATTGAGTTGGCCTTCATGTACCTGGTAAGAGTGCTACTCGACTCACCTAAGCATCCACAGTCGGGCATCTCCTCCTTCATGTCCTCTTCCAGCATCTTCCGATGGAGCTCAGCCGGAGTCAGCTTCCGTGGAGTCAGGTCCTTGTCTGTAGTGGCCTTGCTCTCTCCTGCCTCTGAGCCAGTGCTGGGCTTCGTGGAGGATGCCAGAAGTGTCTGACTGGGCAGAGGGTAAAGGGAACGGCCGGTGGATTTCATGGCGGCTGAAGCTGAGATGCCGCTCTGTGAGCCGGGTGGCATGACGCCGGGAACCGGCAGGCCGGGGAAACCGGTCACAGTCATTGGAGGTAACGTGATCCCGCTGGGCCGGTTGTGCTCTGCCTTGAGACCCTTGTGGTCAGATTTGGTCTTGGAGTCTGTCCGGTGGTGCTTCTCTGATTTGGACTTCTTCTCTGAGGAGTGTTCGGATTTTGACGAAACTGGAACAGAAGAGATGGCTGCAACAGAAGGGGATGGGGACTCAGAGGAAGGCCCACTGCTGAGGAAGCCAGGGGGCGGACGCTTCTCGTGAGGGCGTTGAGAGTCATGGGGGCGCTGTTCGTGGGGTCGCTGCTCGTGATTCCCTGAGAAGTGAGCGGGTGGGAAGGGGAAATGCCGCGCTGATATAGAAGAGCTGAGGGAGAGAAGTGATTCGGCAGCATCCACAGGAGAAAGGGCTTTCCTCTCTGAGGATGGTGATTGCAATGATGTAGGGGTTGTTGTGCTATTGCTTCCTTTGTGGTCAGGTGTGCCCCTGTCTTGGATATGACTGGTGGGAGTCGGCGGATTGCTCGGCTTGGATGAGCCGAGAGTTGGGAAAGTAAATGACGGGTAGGACTGGATGCTGGATGACCGGCTGTGGTTGCTGTTCAGCATCGGAGGCAGCGCCTCTTTGGCCGTGACTGCAGCACTGCTCTGCAGCTGCAGTTTCTTGTCAAAGTACTGTCCATGCGTAGGTGGCGAAGGGCTGCCTGTTGGCTTGCCTGTAGCCGTGACAGGTGCCGCAGAGTAACCCCCGGGTCCTTTTCCTGAAGATGGGGTCAGAGTGGTTGCATTGTCCGGCTTGCTGGAGGCTGCAAAGGCGTACTTGGCATGGGGGTGGTGGTGATGGTGATGGTGGTGGGCTGGGACAGGGATACCCACCGCCTCCCCTACTCCTTGTTCCTTTTTGATGCTGACCACACCCCCCTCGCCCACTGCCTCAATGGGCTCCCTCCGGCCCTCCCTCTCGGCGGCTTTCGTCATTTCAGCTTGCGGAGGAAAGTGGTTCATCTTTGGGTAGCCCTCGCTGCTGCTGTACCCGTTCACCATGGGGGGAGGCGGGGGCCAGCTCATGTTGGGAGGGGGTACAGCAGTGGAAGAGTCGGAGTTTGGGTAATCTGGAGCCGTACTGTTGTGAAGAGGAAGAGTGGTGGGTGGGGAGTTGTGGTTCTCAATGGGGCCATTCTGCACAGGAAACACCAAAAAATAGAAACAAATTTTAAGAATATGGTTTCCTTCACCTGATATAAAAAACAATAAGAAAAAGGGGTTCCTCATACAGTTGTAAATGTCCCAGGTCTTGGTAACCAAGAGGCTGAAAAGTCTTGGAAAGACAACATGCCATGAAGGACATGACCACAGTTAAATGTATGTGCAATCATTTAGGCACATTTTTTAAAAATCAGACCGGTATTTATCATGACACGAGCATGCTCCATTGGAAGCAAAGACAGTAAGTACCACTTACCATAATAGTGTATAAATACTCTCACATGATTACATTCACACACACCACCATCTCCAAAATGGTGGTTATCAACACAGAAAAGCTTCAATACTTTACAAATAAACAAGTCAACTCACTTTACATCCTAATTTTTTGTACAAATATACAGAAAAGTGCGAGTGCTTTTCCAAGACATGCTCATATGTACATTATTTCTGTTTTGAAATGCCGCGCCCTTAAGCACATCTATATGACTCATAGCTCACAGCTGCGCACGCAGGTGAACAGCAAGACAATTATGAGACTGGACACCCCATTAACAAATGGCCCCTTGCCAACACGCACATATACATACATGTATGCATGCACCAGGCACCCAGGCCAGCATAATGAGGGACTATATTATCGATCTGACCTTTGGTATTAAGAGAATTTTTATTGCTTGTGTGAAGGCAGCTTGCGCTCATCGGAGCATGATATCCACCACACATACTGGCTGTCTTAAAAGTAACACAGTGACTAAGCCACATATTGCCGACTCGTTGGAGAAATGTTAACAATCATAACAAAAGCATCAGTCAGGAAGAAGCATTTGTTTAAAATTTTCATTAGCTTTCATTTTTTAAATGTATTTTTTTGGGTTTGTGCTTGATATGCATGTAATTAAGAGAAAAAAATTAGGTTTAACACAATACATGTGAAATTAATCTAAGTTTACCATGGAAATAAACATGGTTGCAAGCGGCGATTTCAGTTTCAGTTTCAAGGTGGCTGTTTGTTTTACACTACGGTACTTCTCTAACCTTTTATAATGTACCGGTATGACTGAAAAACTGAACTTGCAGGTTGAAATCAAATCTCTATAGCAGCCACAGACATAAGCTTAAATAAAGAACTAAAAATGACAATAACTTAGAAGAAAATCTGAAATTTTTTTTCAGTTCATGAGATAAAAATACCTTTGTCTAAGGTTCTGCATGTAAGTAAAATACCCTGGATGAATCCTCTGCACATTCCCAGTACCGGTACATGCATAGTGAATTCTGTTATAGAAAAGATTTCTAACAAAATCTGGATATGAAGGACAAATACTGAAGTCTCAAGCTTCCCCAATTCATTTGCTTTTCTTGTTTTCCAGTCCTTTTCTAACAAGGTTCTGGTTAGAGCAAGGTGACGTGGCTAGTCCTCAACGAGAGCGAACCGTGTTGTCACCGACTCCATGGCATCTGTTTATGAGGAAGCTTCCGGAATCTTCCGTAATCCAGCAATGTGCGGTAAACCAACGCATTCTTTAGCAGTGAAACAGGCGTTGGGACTTTGGTTCTTGCAAAAAAGTAAAAGAAGCTACTTTATGTACGGTATGGTCCTGAATCCATCAAAATGCCACAGAATCTGGGAAAGTATCCAGAGAGTTTCACAGTGAGAAACAAAAGCCACAATGCACATGCAACTCATAATGAAATGGAAACCTGTGAATACAGCCTGTAAACGCCTGCTTCATGCCCACACCAAGGCCCGAGACATGTACCAGAATGGTTACCGCAAAGCTAGACACTACACCGACAATACTTACAATGTTATATCATGTGATTTTAGAGTGGAAAAATGTCCTTCTCGAAAGACCAAAGACCCTGCTGCATTAAAAAGGAAACACACACCATACACACATGTACATGGTACAGTGTACACACACTCTGTACATGACCCTACACGGTGCATTCGAAAAGGAAAAGAAATACATGTATCCAAGTACGGGTCCATTAGGGAACTTCCTGTAAGCAAAAAGCCCACGTCCGGTGGCACAGGAACGCAGCTAATTTTCTTTTCCTTCCTGATCACAACACATTGTGAAGGTTGTGAAGTCTCTTTTGCATCTACATGTACATGTAGTTGTTACTGCATGAGGCATTTTGCATAATTACCACAACCAGAAATTGATATGCAACCAATCACAAGAAAAGCTGTCCTACACTCACGTGTACATGTATGTCTTCCATGTCTTTGTTACGTACGCAAGGCTTTTTAACAAAAGAAAACATGCAAAAAATGCAATCTTGGATACAAAAATATCAGCAATTTTGCCTGTAAATGAACATCTAGCATTTTACCCTAATCGCTGTTTGTACTTAATCGTGTTCTTCGATGGAGCCTGTTGAAGGAAAATGTCCAGAGAGTGTTGATGTGAATTACATGTACAGTGCCAGTGAGTGCCCTCACGTATACATACATGTATATGAACGTGACTAACTAACGTCTATCCCAGAACATGTTCATTTTAACAGACATAGTGTGTCTCACATCACTGTGGCTACTGGCTCCACCCACAAAAGTACATAGGCGACTGAGGCCAAACTCGAAATGGGAGCAAAAATGTTAGCCTGTTGGGGGGGTGGGTGGGTTGGGAAGGATTAAGAGGGATCCAGTCGGGTGCACCTTTTGGTTGTCTGGAGTGCAAATACCCCGGAGTGCTAGACTGTAACGAGGTGGCTAGACAGGCATTTATTTACCAATAAAGAAGAAAAAAAAACCCCTGATCACAACAAACAAGGAATGACTAGGGGACCCACATGGCACTCACAAATCAAACAACACCAGAGAGACCAACTCTACCAAAATGGGTTGACAAAAATAGACATGTGACTGAGAAAACAGAAACGTTGCAGACAACACAACAGCACGACCAGACCCACAAATACAACAGGGACCCTCCACGGATGTTTTACAGCTTATATGAACAAGAGTTTGTTTGGACTTAAAAAACATTCAGTCACAACTCACATCTACACATGTAAGTTGTACATAGGAAAAAAAAACTCTAAAATTATATTACCCCTTGAATACGTTTCTGAGAGCTACTATACATCCTGCTTACAATGAGGAAATGTATACATGTACATTGTACATGAACATGTAAGTCCAAATCCATTATTCTTCATTGTTTTAATTCCTGATAACACAATTTTACTGTCAAAACGTGGTAATCTGCAAAGTTCTGAGGACCTACTTAATGAGGTTTGAGTGTACATGGACAGGTTCTGTGATCACTTGTTTGTTTCTCTGTGTGTTCTTTTTTATGTAAGTACAAATTTATAGGATTATTCAATTTTAATGCGCACCAGTGAGTCCACTGCAGGCCCTCAATATATGCTTGCTAATTGATTACATTTTTACACTGTATGTGTCAATGCATACAATGACATTTTTCTGGCGGGAAAAAATTTACCCTGTACAAGTCTGAGCTGCACACGCTGCCCGTGTCAAAACAATTACACATCACAGGAATGTGTGCCATCCAAACACCTTTTAATCTCCTGTACAACTGCGCTGACCCTTTGTAGAAAGCCACAGTCTATTTGACAAACAATGGACAAGTTCCCACCTGCTCTGCCCCCTAGCTGAACATGCAGCAATAATAATAATAATAATGGGAGAGAAAAAAAAAATTCTTGTCTGCTTGGTATCATATCGATATCAGCTCCCAGCCTGGGTGTATTTATCCAGGAGTAACCTTTAGCCCTTGGATACCAGCATGTGCTGGGCTGACCTTTATTGACAAGGCAGAGGGTGGTGGCAGGACTAGATTGTGTACCCACAAATGAACCGGGAAATCCATGTCCATGTACTGTAGCCACAGCACAATTCCCTAGGAATTTGTCTTGTATGGCCATCCCATATGGTTGATTAAATAAATTGAACATGTGACTCCCTGCTTCTGAAACTGTTATTTATTGTAAAGTGGATTGTCTACAGTTTGTATTGGTAAAATGAATGGTTGAACAATATGTGTTTCTAAATATTTCAGCACATGTGCAATTATCAAAGATGACATGATCATGTATCTGTGGTATGTTTGAGCAAAATCCTGCCAAGGGTGTGCATAGACCTCATTCTATATCTTTGGAGTCCAAAAGTGTGACATTTTTGTGTCCCTGTAAGACACCTGACCTATTTGTTTGGCAGGTAATTCTTAATCAGTCTTGGAAAGTGAGACACAAGAATATTGGACTGAAAATGTCTGGAATGACCCAACATACACAACAGGTGTCCGGCAGTTTAAATTCTCCAACAACCCAAAATTGTCCCATGGAAGCACCCAGTTTTAAATTAAACTACTGCTCTCTGATGAACTTTACTGTCCAGCCACCCTTGGCAAAATGGATCCCAACTACAAAAGACTGCACCAGTGTATTCAGTGCAGGTTGGAATTTGTTGTTAATTGAGGAAGTTTACCTTGCAGGAGTTTGAGTTGAGACTCAACAAGGCACAAGGTCAAGAACAAACCAAACAAGTTGTGCACACTTTAGACAACACATGCATTGATACATGTACATGAGGTTACATTGCAGTTCAGGACCATTAAGCAGGAAGTACACATGTGCAGCACAAGAATTTATCACACCACTTTCCTATTATATCAGGTTACCCTTTTTGAGTGGCATCAATGTAGGATGTGCGGAAATGCTGATGCATCCTGCACCAACTTGTCACAACAGATGTAACAGTGCAGGTACCTACACTTGTACCGTAGCCAGTCAAAGCCAACTGAAATAGAAACCAACCACAAACCCATCCCCATGTCAAAATCTGCCAAGAGAAGTCAAACATCCACAGGCGAGGAATTTTTTTCCGAACGGTACTGGTGGTCAAAATGTGAACAGTCCCGTATTCTTATCACAGAACCGGCCTGTTCCGATTCGAGGGCAACCCACCGCCGTCCTCCATAGCGAATGACATTTAT